TTCCTTCTGCCTTTCAGCCCAGCAACGCAGTTGTGCGACTGGACATTGATTGGTGATTTTACTCACTGCATTTCCCCTTCTGCAGACTCGCCTCGGACAACGCTACTAGTGTCTCACTATCATATTGCAGTCGTTGATTTTTCACTGCAAATAATGCTCACTCTACTGATTTATTTTATTTAATTTTTTTTAATATTACGCATTACCCCTCCCCCTTATTCTTATTTGAAGAATTCGAGAGATTTTAAATTTGAAAGATTACAGAATCTTTCAAGATTCGGGTTCGAGGAATTTTAGGATTTAGCTCTAGTTTTTGCCAATGCAAGTTAAATTTCTATATATTCGAAGGACTGTTTATTAAGATATGAGATACATTATGAGCACATATGCATGTGCATGTAGATCCTTTGTATACATATGTTCTAGTGCAAAGTAGATGATACAGTTTGAGTGAAATTTACGTCCCTAATATTGGTCAGCAGACTGGAAGAGCAAATATGAAATTTCATGAGCTAAAGATAACTGAATGAATGGGATGTTAGTCATGTGAAAGAAAATTCACACCCATACTCCAACCATAGTTTCTTTCAGATGATATATTTTAGATAGATACTTGAATCAAGTTCTTATTAATCATGGATATTTTATGATTTATTATGGGACATTTAATATAAAATATCTCTCGTGTCCTATCCTATTCAATCCTTACACAAACGGCAGTCCACGCACCCGAAACACAATGCTTGCCATATACGCAGACGGACGGCACCGCAGTTCTCACCCAAATTGCATCCCTTAGCTCAATCAAACAAGCACTTCAATTGCACATCCATACACTGGATGTGCAATAAACGTGAAAAAATAAAATCAATGTTTCAAAAATTCGATGCTTACGAAGAAGATTGATGGCGATTATCAATTAATTATACACAATACTGCAGTTCTTTGGACTCAGTAAGTACAACGTCTAAGTATTATTTAAGATTACCATCTTACATGGAAACGCCCCATTTCATATATTTTATCCAAGTACCGAGCACATAACATTCCTCCGTTATTGCTCGTACAACGTTTTATCTATCGATAATAAATTACTTATCTATAAGGCCATTTACATGTTAGTAAGAGGTAATTAGCCTTCGGATATTTTGCCACAATCTAAAAAGTCCAATCCAATTCATACTTGCTGATATCGGATCTGATGATGATAAAAATTTTCATAATATTCTGGAATCTACTCAGTATCAAAATGCATGAAGAAATTATCTTCCTGCTCTAATACCAATTAACGATCCTAAGAAACTTTTAAATCTAAGTTTAATTCATATTAATTAGAAGACACACAAAGAAGGATGATTAATGCAATTAAATATTTGGCAGTTTACTAGTTATAAATTAATTGAAGAATAAAGAATTCTGCTTTTTATTCATGAAATATGTAATATTTTCCCTGTATTTCATTTTGTGTTTTCTTTTGCAGTATTCATAAATTATGACACATCTTTCAGTCTAATACTCAATCAGCTAGTTTCCAGATTTGATGGCATCGCCACAAATCTTCTATCGATTTGGATAGATGTGCTTCGCAATCCCTTTTAGAAGTCGTGCATTAATATCTGGTAATCTTTAACTGCATACATTTGTATTATTTGAAGGTCTGAGACTGAATCAAGTCTCCACTTGAGTTCTTTATACTAGTAGTAGAGAATTTTGAATAGAAATGACTTGAAATGAAATCTGCAGGAATCTGGAATATCCTGCAACAAATTACTGATTGTATTTCCAAATTGCAAGTTAACATGGCAGTGGATCATAATGTAACCTTTCGTTGTGTTACTTGCTTTTGTGAAGGATGTGCCAAGCGTACAAGAGGACCGTAGGCCAGGAAAATAAAAGCATCAACACATACGTATGTGGTAAGCAAAAATGGAGAAAGAATGCTGGACATGTGAAGAAATAGCAAAAAACTACAGCATTTAATCGACAACAGTGTGTCATAATTTGACAGAAGCTTTTTAGAAAAATATGTAATACTCTGCCTGTTGTGTTCATCATTAACATGGGTAAAACAACAAAAACTAATCATGCAGCCAGCTTGTTTCTGATATAAGAAATCAGGTTTTTAACATTGTGTCTAACATTCAAAGAATTTGTAATTCAGAGACTCGTAAACATTGAAGTCACTGAAAACTTAAATGTTTTATTTTTTTTTTTTTTATAAAAGCGTATTTACTCGCGTAATAGTCGCACCCCCATTCTGAAGCAGAAAAAAATCAGTGTACAATATTTGTGTAGTAGATTTCCCCTGCATCGGACCTAGACTTTCGCAATGAAAAATTGGCAAAAAAAGTGTGACTATTATGCAAGTAAATACGGTACTAGTTTAGTTAATTTTATTTCCTTTTTGGTAAATAAAAAATTGAAAAAAGTTTCTTTTATAAGTATGATATAAAAATTTAAATAAATGTTTATCTAAAATAACTCCATTATCAGTTATGAAGACTGAAAACCCAAATTTACTTTAGTGTTCCAAAAAAAAATTTTAGAACTTAAAAAATGTTCCGCATTGAGAAAAGTTTGGGAAATTCTATTTCACTCAAACATTTAAAATGCCCCTATATATGAATTTTGTTGAAACGGATTTCCTCCCCCATGACAAGTAAAATGCTACAGCGCTAACAACAACCTACTTAAGTAAAATGACAACTTCTTTCTTGGACGCTTTCACCACTGTGTGCAGTTTCCCCTTGGGACAGAATTGCAACTTCGGACATCAATATCTAAACACTGACAGTAAACAAAAGAAATGGAAGGTGCATTAAAATAACAGAACTTCTTTTAGTTCCTTTAAAAGAATGGCTTGCATGTCATTTAACAACTCAAGAAAGCAATGAGCAATGCACTAACATGATGGGGGTAGGTAGAAAATGATTAAGGCATTCTGAGCGACCTGCTGATGTCTGAATGGTCGGTCGTTTTGAGCAACTTGGATGTGGAGTTAAAATCAGAAAAACACAAAGCCAGTGGCAGCAGCTGCACACTCAACATTATTTTTCAGAAGCAAAATATTACCAGTCATAATTTAATACACAACATTCATACGCACTATGATTACACTCCTATCTTCCCCCACCGAAAAAATATTGAAATAAAATAGATTGTTTTGCACGAACTTAAAATATGTATTGACTAATGTCTACTTAATATGTATGTATTAAATATTTCTAAACATTTCCTTTATTAGCATAGTTAATAAAAGCTGTTTATAATGCCTTATATTATGCATTTTGTTACATTATATGGCATATCAAGACATTTAATTATTGTACATCATCTAATAGCCACATTATAGGTGCACGATATTATCTTAACGCAGGAAATTGTTGAAAAAATTTAATTGTGAAAGCAAGGAGGAACTTAGAATAATACAAAAATTTAGTACAAAGATTACAGAAATTTAGTACAGAGATGTTTTTCCCCAAAAAAGCTATTATGATTACATATTCAACTAATATTTAGACATTTTTATGGCAAAATCCTAGGAGAGCCCACACACTTGGCGACAAACTGGGAAAAGTGCAGAATCATCCACTGCTCCGTGCATTTCTCAAAATCGCTAACTTGAAAATAACTAGTAAAAAAATTGCACAAACTTGGTATCCATGTACACATTGACCTATTTTCACTTAAAAATACATCCCAGAATTGCACAAACTTGGAATTGCACACTCCCTTGACTTTGTCCATGTACACATCGATATGTGCCATATAAGTGGGCGCGCCAAGGATGTGGGCTTTGCTAGGATCCAATCATTTTTATATTTACTTTCACTAACTCGCAAAACGGTAGTCCAAAATAATATAAACACTTAAAACTAAAAAGAACTGTGTATGGTGCAGGAGCACCTCTAGAATTCAAAATTGTTTGAAATCTTTTTGGAATGGTGGCATATGAATTATGAATGGTGGTTAATAACTATTGCTCAATTTCTTAAAAAGATTCTGGTGGGAAGGGAGAAGGGAGATCTTATACTCATTTCTAGCTTACACCATGATGGTGCAACGAATAGTTCAAAGAAATTTAATAAGCCTTGTCATTAGCCACATTAAGGAAAATATGTAACTTCATCCTAGTGTTCTTCAAACCATGACTGAACAATTTGCCTTCAGTGAATATAGTCATTATCATCTTGAAAGGTGAAGCAATAATGTTCGAGTCATGGAAAGAATATGGCAACTTAAAATAATTATATAATCTACAATATTTTTCTTTCTTGAAAGATGATAATTGCAATTTGCTGCAAATCATAATACTATAATTGCCTAAAAAAATTATACATTTGAAATACATTACTGTAACAAACAGTTTAGAAGCTTCTGCTATAGTTCTCCACACATAAACTCGTTCTGAGGTAATACAAAGTGTGAAGGTTGTCATCTGAAAACAGTGCTTATTTCCATTGATTAATATTTTATTTTTTACGTTCTTGGCAAATTTTGCTCTTATTTGTGAAATAAAAGATTTCGAGACAGCAGCTCAGCACAAGTATTCTGTTTATGTTGTTCTCTTCACAATTTAAGTACTGAAACTGAGTTCTGAAAATACATATTATTAAGCCCAAAGGCCACTTTTTTTTAAGTAACTTTTATTTTTCACATTATAGGTAATCTTCTTAACTCCTTTTAGTAAGTTTTGCCTTGTTCATGCTATAGCTTCTGACAAACAACTGTTGTCAATATCCTGAATAATTTAAATGAAGGTTACAGATGCATTATTGAGATTGATTCTTCAGCTAATTTAGGGTGATTACCTCAATTTATACTTTGAAGATTTGTTGAATAAATGGCCAGTATTATGAGAAAATAAAATTTTAACTACATAAAAATCAAAACAAATGACTGAGGGAATTTCTATTTAGCAAAAAAATTATTAAAATCAAATAAATTGCCAGCTATTAAAAAGAGAAAATTATCAATAAACACACCACTTACAATTTTCATCAAAAATTTTTATTTAATACAATTGTACTTTTAAAAGTATGACAAACAGTTTTAGCCCCCAAAAAATGTTTCTGATAAAATACAGGCTAAAATACACCAAGTAAAGAAATATGAAAAATTGTATATGATTTACAATACACATACTTGCTTCATTTTTGTCTAAGAACAATTTGTGTAACTGATGATACGCCATCAATGAACTGAGCTCTAAAAAATTGCATTGTTGAGCATTATGTTCTTTAGTGAAAACTAATTAATAGAAAAATAAAGGCAAAATTATCAATGTTTTCTAACATTTAATCTAACATAATAATAATCTGCAATATATTTTTCAGTTTCCAATACATTTGATTTCAAAATGTCATTAAGATTTGAAATTAAAGATAAAAATCAATACAATGCTTTTAAGCATTGTAGCTTATACAGTTAATAAAATTCACAAAACAAAAAAAAAAAAAAAAAAAAAACTAAAACAAATTTTCTCATAGTTTTTCTTCAGATATTTTTTTTAAATGAAGAAAAATAAATACAGAAGAAATAAATACACTCTGAGACACACACACACACACACACAAAAGAAAAAATGTGCACCAAGAAGGAGTTATCTAAATGAGATGAAAATTGCTAGATATTATGTACATGTCCAAAAACAAATGATTACAATTTCAGAAAAATTGGATAATTTATTCAAGAGAAAGAACATAAAAAAAAAAAAAAAAAAAAAAAGCAAGTCAATAACGTGCTGGTCCACCTCATTGTTCAAGCACATGTATGTGAAGCATAGTTTACTGTTTATTCTTAGTACACCGAATGAAATTCTCAAAGAATCTATGACCTGGAGTGGAAATTTCTCCTCTTTAATATCCTGCAAATTGTGCAATTAAAATGTGATGCAGCATCACTTGTTCATTCATTTTCTGCCAAACTTTAAAATTTTACATGTTTCGTCAAAACCTATATGCATATCAACTCGTGACCAAATTGCATTACTCCTTCTGAGTACAGCATTTTTTTTTTAAGAGTATACTTTATTCATGAATTATTTCATACACATATCAAATTATAAAATTAGCCCCTTATAGTTCAAAAACAATTTATATTTCAAAGAGGAAAATCAAATTTTAACTTAAATTCATGAAACTTGTGAATTTGAATTACAAAAGGTGTGACCTTTTACTGTATTCAGCATTATATATATTGAATTTACTTGTAATTACATTAAACATTAGTGATGTTAACACTTTTTAAGATTGCATAATAAATAAAAGAGGTGTTTTATTTATTTATTTATTTTTTTTTTTTTTTTTTTTTTTTTTTTTTTTACATCTGTGTAGGAAATTAGGACTTTTTAATGTATATAAATTAAGATGCTGATCTCGGTGTTCAGCAAATTTTAAGAGAATCTTTATAACTAGTATTATTAGTAATTCAGTGAACAAAACCACAAACATTAACATATTTGTCTAAGCCTCGATACCTATGAACAGAACAGCTAATCGTACAAATATTTTCACGATTGTTTTATTTTGTAACATAAATATATGGTTGACTTTACACTGAAATATCTGATTGTAATGAAAGTTTTCTGCCAAAAAACGTTCTTAATAAAGATAGGGGAAGAAAAATGAAAGCACTGCCTTTTGTGTGGGTAGCAATCGCCACTCAAATCTATCATTTTCTGCCAACGTTTTGGTAGTTTTTCAAAGCCTTCAGTTCAGAAACTTGGTGGCCACAAGTCCAAACCAGATTAACCTCATTCTACACGTCCTGTTCAGAATGGAAAATAGCACAAGCAAGATGTAGCTGCAGGTGTGGAAAAAGATAGAAGTCCGAAGGAGCGCTGTTGATGCTACATGGTGGGTGTGGTAAAAGATTCCATTCAAGTCCGTACAGAGCCCAGCTGGTGAAGGCAATCACACATGGTCTTGCATTATCTTGACAGAATGTTACCTTTCTGCGGCAGAACTCAGTTCAAAGTTTTTCCTTGATAGCAGCGTCAACATGGAACATTAATGTACACTTTACTGTTGAGGGTTTTACTTTTTTCCAGATACTCTTTGCGGATAAGACCACGGTATTCCCACCAGATACAAAGTACAATCTTTCTGTCAGTCAAATTGCACTTCGCGATGCTGCTGACGGGCTTAACGGCTACAGACCAACCCCCTTAATGGCCCATATTGTTGAAATAAATCCACTTTTAATCACAGGTGATGATCTGGTCCAGAATTGTGTCCTTCCATTGATATTCAAGCAGCTAAGTGCAGACCTGAACAAATCGGTCCTAATCTTCTTGAGTTAGCTCATGTGACACCCAGCAACTGAACTTGTACATCAAGTTTATGCGATACATAGCACAACTAATGGATATGGCACTAACTCCTTAGCAAACTCTTGAGTGGTTGCATACTGATCTTCTTCCACAAATTCTCGCAGGTGGGCCTCATGAACATTAATAGATTGGCCAGAGTGCTCTGCTTCTTGCATGTCATAGTCCTTGTTTTTGAACTTTCGTTACTACATTAGTACCTAAAGCTATACATAGGATTTGGTGAAGTTCTATAGCTGACTTTTTGCAACAGAACTGTAAGAAAATGATGGTTCTAATCTGGTTGCATGATAGTTCCATTTCAGACACCTTGTACTAAATGATAAAGATATTTTTTTACAGATTTCACAACACAGTGTTCTAAAGCAACACTGCTCTCTTTCTTTTAAATGCAAGAACCATTTGATAAAATATGAATTAACATGCCAATGTGAACTGTTTGTGCAGATGATACCTGTGGTGGCAGTAAAATTTTGTTAAAACTTATATATATATAGAGAGAGAGAGAAAGAGAAGTTTGCAAGCTGTATATTATATTACAGCAATGTGCTGTTTATATGTTTTTCATAGCCACACAAAAAAGACACATAAATGAGAATAACATATGTGCCTTCTAAGTGAAAGGCTTTTGATAGACAAAATGTATAGTCCGACATCTTCCAAAAAAAAAAAAAAAAAAAGAGAGAGAGAGAGAGAGAGAAAAGAAAAATCTAAGGAAAATAATAGAAAATAATAAACTTGATTTCTACAAAATGATGCAGAAAATTTTTTAAATAATTAAATTTAACGGAATATCATACTCTCAGATAACAGTACTAGAATATTTTTAATGCTTTGGAAATTAAAAGCCAATGAAAATGTGGAGGATATCGCAGAAAACAAAATCATAAGTTTCCCAGGAGAAAAGACTGTTTGCAGTCAAAATATTCATTAAATTCATACTTGCACCAAACAGTCATTGATTTCACAGTAACTTATTTTTTTCTCTCCATCAAAATGGTGATACCTTTTCTTAACTCGCATGCCGAAATATTAAAGAGTCAAAAGGTGAGCATGAAAGTACACAGTGCCGATTTCTTTCCATTAAAAGCAACTTTCTTCCATTCCACACGTGATGAAAAATTCAAATTTACTAATTTACACTGCAATATTTCATGTAAGTATTTTCAAACATTTTCCACGATACTTATGAAGAATGAATACCTCTAATGCTAAACAGGCCATACATGATATCAAAAGTAGAAAAATATAATATACCATTAGACTGTATCCGATATACAAGTATAACCAGCATTTTACAAAATATTTTCTTTATTATGAAATAAATAATAAATAATAAATAATAGATATTTCTGCTTTTCTGGTGGAAATAATCTGTACTATTTTTATAATATAATCACAGAAACCAGTTTATTCATTAACTGAAAATAAATAGAAAAGCTGAGGAGAATAATGTATCAAAATATAATATTTTTAACAACCTAATTTTTTGAGACACACCAAATTTTGTTTTTGCATGGCTGCTCCCCACAGTCCACTCCTGATACTGTACATATTGTGGGGCAGAGCAGTCTACAGAAAATTAATCATGTGCATTCATGCTAGACTGACTAATAGGGTGATCTTAAATGTTTATATGTACATTTTCTATTGCTATAATGAACTTATATCAACACTAAATAAAGCAGAGTTAAATTCAGGATTTAAATTTTAAGAAATATAATTTTTTATCCTTTTAATGTTAAAAAATATTAATTATATTAATTTTTAAAATGCATTATTACAATGAGAAAAATTACAATTATAATTGACAAGGAAAAAAATTACCTTATAAAACTGGATATATACACATTTACAAATGTGGCCATTAGGAACTGACAATCAAATTGATCCATGATTCCTCTATGCCCAGGGATGATATCTCCAAAATCCTATACTATGGAAAATATCCACAATAAAATAACCATAAAAAACATAAAATCTGTATATGGTTATATTTTTTTAAACCATTTTTAATCATGTGGAAGCTTTCAATGAAATATTTCTAGTTACACACAATAATTTCATCCTTTATGCAGAAACAGTTTCACAGCCAGTATAAAACCAGGAATTTAGTTACTCTATTCTAGAAACCGATTTAGTTGTTTGCCCATTATTAGTTTATATGCAAAATTTGTTACCAAATTATAGTAAATATAAACTGTTACAAAATTATGTCCATTTCATAACAGAAATTTTTTATTTGTAAAAAAAATTTACAGCAAAATTATAATAAGAATAAAAATATGTATTTTACATAACATTTTTAAATGAAACTAAAGGTTTTAAAGCTTCAAACTGTCATATGTAGGATTTCTGACATCTCTTTTTTCATATTCCTACATCAAAGGATTATTTGAGTGAGGAAAGAAACATTATTCCCATGAAATAAGTAGCATTAAGAATCCTTTATAGCATACATATGATATATATGCAAATGAACTAGTAATGAATTAGCCTTCTTCATGCTCTTAATTTGTTGAAAATCTCTTGGAACCACATCTAAAAAAAAAAAAAAACAATAAACACTTTAAGTACACTAACTTAAAAAAAAAAAAAAGAAAGAAAGAAAGAAATAGAAATAACTAAAAGCAATTTCTCCAATTTATATTAGTGAACAATGATGAGAAACAAATTGCTGCATCAGTAACAGAAAACAATATTCGCCAATCACTTTCTGAACAATCATGTAATAAACTCTATGAAAATGTACTTGTATGTCAAGTTTATGCGATTCATAGCATGAACTAATGGACACGGTATTAGTTCATGCTATACATTACATGTATGCATATGCATACATTACATGGCATTAACTCCTTAGCAAACTCTTGATCTTCTTCCACAAGTTCTCACAGGTGGGTCTCACCAACATCAATAGGCCGGCCACAGCGATCGCTTCTAGAATGTCATAGTCCTTGTTTTTTGACTGTCGATACCAAACCTTCATAGTGTTATATGATACAACATTAGTACCTAATATTACTACCATTGATTTAGTGAATGACGCTGGCAGTGGATTGTAGATTCTTTTCCGTCGCGTGGACATATAACTCTGATTGGTGTAGAATCTTAGGTCGGAGGTCCATGCGACTGCGTATCAGTACCTAAAGCTCCACTCATTTAATGACATTCTGTAGCTGACTTTTTGCAGCAGAACTGGAAGTAAATGCTGGTAATGTGATAGTTCTATTTCAGACAACTTGTACTTAATGTTATCAATATTTTTTTACAGATTTCACAACACAGTGTTCTAAAGCAAGTCTATTTCTTTCAAATGCCATAAATCGTTTGATAAAATGTGATTAAACACGCTAATGTGAAATGTTTGTGCAGAAAATATTTGTGGTGGTGGGAAACTTTCATTAACCCTTTCGCGATGACGCACTTTTGTTTAAGATGCTCGTGCGGGACGGAAGGGAATCGAAAGCAGTCATCGTACAGGACAGAGGTTTTGTATCGCTAAGCTTAATTTTATAAAAAATAAAAAAAAAAAAAAAAAAAAAAAATTCACTTCTAGCATTGTAATTTTTGGTATCATTTTAGATTATTAATTCAGCTCTTATATATGTTAAAGCACTTAATAATAATAACGTTTTTTTCTTTATTTTACATGGAAACATACTTAAAAAATTGCTTATCTTGAAAAATAAATTTCGAAAGTGCTATTCAAATTATTCCAAACTTTTAATTTATAAAATCCATCAATACAGTTTCAAATTAATAAAACAACACAATAAAGACTATTTACAGTAAGAAGTAACAAAATTTAAAATGAAGACTGAGTATGGTAAATCTCGAAGTACGAAGAAGTAGAAAAATGAATAATCACTCTCATCTGCATTAGTTAAATGGTTCATTAACCATAGAAGGTATTCTTCCCGCACATTACACAGTTAACTTCCAAATTCCGAGTTGCTAAATCAAACTCTTTCCCTTAATTTCTCGGAATTCCGTTTTGTCTATCGATAAGTTACTCCTGTATAAAGTCATGTTACGTTAAATATTAACTTATGCCTGTCCGGTATGGGGTTTTGCCAGCCAAACACATATTAAAAAACTGCAAGTCTTAGAAAATGTAACATTACAGCAAGTTACTAGATGCCGTTGGTTTATATGTATGAAATGTAGTAATCCACAAGAAGCTTAAAATCCCTGAGCTACATTGGTATATGGCTAAAATTGCCAAGAAATTCTTTAGGAAAATCAGCAATGTACAAAATCCAAGTATACCAGAAATGAATTATGATGTTAAGACAGAAACAACACCAGGAGACCTAGTGTGCTTCTCCGAGCCTTGAATTAATTATCATCTCTGAATTTAATCACTATTGCCCAAACTGGGCTCAGTTTAACTTAATTCCTATTATATATTTGCATTATTTTCTTCTTAAATTTAGCTGCTAAATTAATTCTTTGGATGTTGTGCCTTATCTTCAGTAACCTTTTTTTTAAATTCCCATTACTCTAAATTTAGTTAGTTAACTCCCTCTCCCTTTCCGGCTCATCCTATCCCAAAATTATGTATGGCTCTGAAAACCTCCCTTTGCTCCTCCCCAACCATTGCCTGCCAATAGTTATTACTGCACCATGTCTATCTCTCCTCCAATATCTTTAGCTCCTGCAGTCACTTGACCATTCTATCTCCTCTACGCCGTGAGCAGCAGTGACCTCAGTCTAGCTTCCAACATTGTAGGGGTAAGTACGCTCTGAGAGACGGAATGAATTTGTTACTTTTATGCGGATATCTGCAAGCTACTCCCACAGCAAGATATGCCAAATTTGCAAATGCCAAAATTGCACCCATTACAAACTCTACTACTATTCACATTACTTTAAACTTCGCCAATTACTATAATTGCTCTTATCAGAGCATCTGAATGCTATGCATTCAACTCCTACAAACTCGTGTTAGCAAAGAAAACGTTATGCTTTGAAAAATTTTTCATTTGATATATACAGGGTAAGGCTTTGCCTAGGGTTTTACAACTGCGTCGCTTGATAGGGAGGAGGGTATTCTTCCTCTGATAAATAACGCCGTTCCGCCATAATAGACCGGAGGTGAGGCTTTCCGAAATTAAAAGAAAAGAAACAGAAATATATCTGAAGGCAATACAAAACGTAACAGAACTCCACATAGTAACCCTAAAAGACCGTACATAGTAGAGGGAAAAAATAGAATAAAAAAAGGAATTGGATATAAATCAGACCGATGCGAACGTATATAGCTACCTAATTTAAGAGTCCACCTTGTTACGCCCCCAACCTCGCAACTATGATGATAAAAACACTCAGGGAATTATCAACTCAAGGTCGGAACCAAAACGTGTCATTAAAAATAGAAACATAGATTCAGCTAGTGGCTTCAGAAAAATTCCGCTTAAAATCTACGCATCCCCCGCCTCTGAATCATCTCTAGTGATCTGATGTACGCCCTCTGAAAGGGTTAAAACCCAATATTATCCCCATGAAAATGAAATTTAACAGTTCTCTAACAGAGCAAATAAAAGATCAGTAATATACTACATTTAAAGTATTATTTACTTTTTACTTATTTCAAAGAATGTTGTTCCATTCTTCTAATGAGATAACACATAAGTTGATTAAATTCAATTTTATAATAAAAAATGAAAATCAATATTCTTTTTAAACACTGATTACAGAAAGCTGGTATTTTCTCAACCTTAGTGTTGACCTAATAACCAACTAGATGACACAATTACCAACTGGATACTTTTTATTAAACACAGTCAATTTTAAAACTGAATAAAATTTATAGTTAATTTCTTACATACTTAATTGGTAATTTCCAACACATTTAAAGTTACTTATGATGGTCATTGTGACTCATTTCTAAAAGCACAGTTTAATTTAAAATGGAAATAAAGAATTCAAAAACTAACTATTTTCATTAAAAAAAAATTACATTTATTTCTTACAGATCCACGAAGCTAATTTTAATAATCTTCTTTCAAGTAAACTAAAATATTAATAAATATGATATTCACATTTCAACTTTCTGCCATTTTTAATTTTTAATTTTAATGCCATTAAAGCAAAAAAAAAAAAATTAATTAAAAAATTAAAACATTAAGGAAAAATACTAAGAAACATTAAAATATTAATTTAAAACTCAAATAGAATAATGAATAAGACATTACTCTCCCTTTCCTACTCCCATCTTGAAAGAAATTTTTTTAACCCCAATGGCCAAATAATAAAAATATGGAATATTGGTAACCCAGTTTCAAAGACTGGCGAATCAGCTGGATGCATTGTAGTTTTCAAGGATTTTCCCATGTATATGAATAAAAGAATTCCCTTAAAAAGTCTTCCATGAAAGTATCTCTTCCCATCCTAACTATCCATGCGAGTACAGTAGTTGAATCGCTTCAGCAGTTACATTTGACATCCTTCTAATTCAGTGCTTTTCAGCTACCAAATCTGTCAATTATGCACCCACCAAGGCAGCTAAAAGTTCCATATGTATTATTATTTCACCTCTTAAAGGAGTTACTGTGGATTTAATAGAAAGCAGTGAGAGTTTGACAGAACTTTCTTCCTCAATCTCAAAAATACCACAGAAGCATATGCATCTTTACTAACATCACAGAAAGTGTGAATCATGCAACGCTTCAAATTTTCTGCTGTAGCATGAATCCATGCTACAGCAGAAATTATGATCCAATATGAATTCATATATTCATCCAATATGAATTTTTTCCAAAATCTTTAATTCTTGAAAACATTGCAAGAATTCTTTCCTCAGATTATCCATGATTTATGCATCCAATTTCACATCCATGTTCCAAGCCTTCTGTAACATTATCTTGGGGCAAAGCATAACTGGAGCGGTATAACCAAATGGATCAAAAACTTTATGGCTACTGATTACATAATTCACTTAGTTATCTTTTCAAGGTTTTCTTCTTTCATCCAACTCATATTAATTTTTAAGGAATCCAACATCAGGCCTAAGACAGGTGTTTCCCAACCATGTTCAGTTTTTATCTTCTGTATATTCCCAATGTCTGGGATTAAAACTGCCTTTTGATACTTGTAAACTGGACTTGGATATAAAATTTTTACAATTAATGTAATTATCAACACTAGCTACAACACTGTCTACACAGAAACTGTGTTGCAGGGTTTCCTTAAATTTAGAGTCAAAACCTTGACTAGTCTCAATATCATATTCTATAACAGGGCCAAGAAGGAAAAAGGCTGCTCTTAACTCCAAAAACAACTCCTGTATGTTGAAACATTTTATGTTACTTCCCTTCTAAATTTTCCCACCCCAAAAATGCAAGAAGTCTCTGTCATCTTCGCAAACACTTATTTTGCAGAAAATCTGCTGTGATGCCAAACTTCTTTTTTTCAAAATCGCAGTTAAATATCTGGAATCAGTTCTGCAAGATTTGACCCACATTGCAGGCACTAGTTCATGGAAGGACGGTCTTGCAATTTTGCAGATGCATCAAATACTGATTAAATGGGATATGAACTGTTGGTTTCTTTTATGATAGGTCAATAAGGTAAGTAATTCTCACAGAAAATCACTTAATTTCGAGGGATGACTCAATAACTCCTTCATCAAGCAATCCCAGAAAAATATTTTGATATCTGTCATACAAGCTGTTGGACAAGAGTTTTGTAGTTATCACTTCAAGTCATTTCTGGGTGAGGCTAAAGTTATTGGATAAAGAACTATCATCAGCACATGGCAAACAAATTTCATAACGATTATCTCAATTAAATTTCACTATTTCTAGGAAGTGTTCTTTAGTTTTTTAATCTATATCCAAATTAAATACTTTTTCTCCGTGGCATTCTAGATTCCAAAGACATCTAATCTCCAGAGATCAGCAATTTTCATTTCCTTCAAAAATAGTGACATTATAGGCATTGCAAAGTTTTCTTTTATAGCATCTATTTGTGGGACTTTAATGTCCATCAGAGATGGATTTGGACTGCAACTAAACCCACAACTACTTTTCTTCTGCCCATCAAATGCCTAACAATAATACTTGCTCCAGTGAGGACTAATAAGAGGGGTTAGCATCTGTCATGACGTGATGACCATGCATGCGCAGTTTAGCCGAATGGCCTGCAACACCTCTCTCTCATGTGACTTACTAGAGAAGAGTAGTTAGTTAATAGTTAGTAGCGAAGTAATGAAGGTAATCCGCTGTATGCCAGCATAATGTTAATCACATGGTTCTATTTTTGTGTTAATCATTTGTTCTTATTTTGTTCGTGTATTAATAAAGTTTTTGTGTTGTTAAAATGGCTGGTTTATGTAATGCCCACATTTATTGCACATTAAGGAAACATACATATATCCAGAACCCGCCCAAGAAGCAGAATATGACAGTATCTATTAAAACAACACCCAAGTCTTTCAATTCATCAAATCAAGGGCCTTTATTTATTAGTAATATACTTTCACATGTAATACCTTGATACAAGACTTGAAAATTGCAAGTGATATTCCCATTTATTTGCTTTATTTTATAAGAGTTATGCCTATTTTCTTTAGTAAAAAGACAACCAGCCAAAAAGTGTTTAGCTGCCTCTCGATGACTTATAAGATATTTCATCTCTTCTGCGATATTCCTTAAAATAAATTACTTTCGTGAGCCAGTATCGCATAGCACACAAACTATTCTTTCTTCATCACCAAAAATAAGGCTGACTTTAAAGTCTGAAGGAATGCCTTTGGATTTGAATTTATATTTCACAAGTCAACGTCTTTTCCAAGAGAAATTTCCTTCTTCTTCTGACTTCGCTTGTTGCAGGTCTGCAGTTGATCACACATCAAGAAAACATGTTTTTTACTACAAATGAGATATTTTAAAAACATGCAACACTTTCTAACTGAATGACTAGGAACAAGGCACACAAAACAGTTCTTATCTATTACTATCTTCTTTCAGGCTTTCTTCTAGCATCAGTTTTTGGGCATTAAAACAATTAGCTCTAGCATGCTTGCCTTCACAAAATATATATCCTGGTTTCATTCTTCCAGATTCTTTTGTGAATGTCAGCAGCATGCATGCAATAGGAATTTTACCTCTTTGAGGTTCCAAATTATATTTCTTTTTTCTGGGCATCTTTGTATCTTCATTTTTAGTTAAATCAAAACCTGACATTGCCAAAAATATTCTTTCCTCTCCCTCTACTTCCCCTTCGAGGAATGACATCAAATTGTTCAGATGTTCCTTCTCATCCTTTATATTATAGGACTGGAAGAAGGCTTTCTATTCCAAGAGTTCTATTAACTGAGCCCTATATTAAGCTAGAAAGTCCTCATTATAGCAAAATTCTATCACTGAATAAACAGTAAATTTGTCTGTTGTAATTTAGTTGTAACTTGAGACTTATTTGTGAGCTCTCGAAACATTGGGAAAATGTTTCGAGAGCTCACAAATAAGTCTCAAGTTTGTCATAGAGGGATATCGGAGATAATTTTTGGTCGGATTGTAGAGAGATTATTAATTTCAACAACTCTGACATATGCGTCTACCAAAATACCTTCGCAAATGAAACGAGCTTTTAAACTATCTGCAGCCTTTACATAATTTGTTCCAGTTGGTAGGAAACTTTTCACTACTTCTCTTGCTCTGGTACCAACATTTGCATTCAGTATAAATATTGGAATTTGTTTTCAGGAGCCAGAGCATTATTTTTATTAATATGTTCAAATTAGCTCCAAAAAGGTAACCATTCTTTTAAATCATTAACAAATTGTCTGAACTGTAATTTAGGCAGACTTTTCCTTAGAACTACTAGTTTCTAAAATATGCTCAAAAATTGTATCTGGGCTTTGAGTTTGAACTTTTCTATAAAACTAACATGTTTATATTAAAATAAATACTTAACAAACAGACAAAAACATCCTCCCACCTTCTGATTATACATTATAATCAGAAAATTGCACATTATGTTTTTACATGATGTTGAATACAAATACACAATATATAGCAACATATATTTTTAAAAATGACAAAAATTAGAACAACACATATGATAAAAATTCTTACATCTATTTTTTACAAATCCACTTTATCAGGAACTTTTATCTATCTACTTGATTTAGACATTTTCATTTTAGGTTTTGGGATACTTCCATTCTCAAATGAGTCCTTATTATCAATACATTTCACTTTTTCTGCTTTTAGAACATCATTAATGACTGAAACCTCTAAAAGGATACACATGCCGAATTAAACAAAGTAATTTCAAATGAGAGGTTTTTATTTTTACAAGTCAAACATATCCATCCTTTTCAGGAATCTGTTCTGCCCAGTTGATTCTTTTTACTGTTGCCTATTCCAATTAGCAGTATATCTCCAACTGCTATTTTAGGAGCATCTTTACTTTCTGCTCTTTGAATGAAAAGCCCTAAGTATTCACCTCTGAATTGATTTCTCAGATCTCTTTGCAGATTTTGCCTATATTTGATCCTTCGATTTAAGCTCTGATGGTGGAGAGCTTCAACATCTGGTGTATTCTATTCCTTGATGACTCGTAGGAAAAATGAAGGTGATATGGGGCATACACTGGTTATCATAAATTAAGGAAAAATCACAAAAATTGCAATAAATCCCTAAAAAATAAGCCAAACCGTGTAAAATTTGAATATGTTGCAAAGTAAGGGTAGCTGAGTAAAACTGCGATATGTAAATTAGTGGTGCTGCTTTCGGAATATGTCATCTGCGAGGAGCATAAAAGTCCATGTTTTGAGAGAAAGTCCACATATTTCACTGTGACAGTGACACCAAAAATCTGAGATAGCCAATTCGTAACAATCGGAATATGTCATCTGCGAGGAGCATAAAAGTCCATGTTTGAGAGCAAGTCCACATATTTCACTGTGACAGTGACATCAAAAATCTGAGACAGCCAATTCGTAACAATGACCTCCAGGCATCATTTGCCTGCAGAACTGCGATGGAGAGCCATTGGGAGACTAGAGGCAGGAGAAAGTCAAACAGAAGTGGCCAGATGGCTAAATGTGAGTCCTTCTGTGGTTCACAGACTTTGGAGGCAATTTTAAACCACAGATTCGGCATCTAGGAGGTTCAGCCAAGGACGGCCAACTGCTTTGACGAGTGCCGATGACCGATATTTGACATTATGTGCACGCAGGAATAGAACTGCTACTCCGACTCTTCTTAGATCCTCCCTTGCTGCAGCCACCGGAAGGTTCATGTCAACATCAAATGTGGATAGAAAGCTTCACGAAGGTAGTCTGTATGCGAGGCAACCAGCCATTTGTATGCCGCTCGCGTCACGCCATAGGAGGGACCGTTTTCACTGGGCACAACAACATGTCCACTGGACGACTGATCAATGGAGGGCAGTTCTTTTTATGGATGAGTCCAGGTTTAGTGTAGAAAGCGATAGAGGCGTTATTTGATATGGAGAGAACCTAGAACCTATCATCCGTCAAACAAGAAAGAGATGCATACGGAAGGGGCAGTGTCTATGTTTGGGTGGCATCTCTTTGGGTGGATGCACAGACCTCCACGTCTTTCCAAGGGGAACCATGGATGCTCAGATTTATAGAGATGACATCCTTGATGTTTATGTGCGCCCATATGCCAGGGCAACAGGTGATGCTTTCCTGTTACAGGACGACAAGGCAAGACCACACAGGGCTCGCATCGTAGATGATTAGCTTCAACAGGAAACAATTATGCACATGGGGTGGCCAGCTCCTTCCCTGGACTTGAATCCTATCGAGCGCGTTTGGGATGCTTTAGCGAGACGTCTAGCTGCTCTCAATCCACTCCCTCAAACCCTTGTTGTGCTTGCAACTGCTTTGCAAGAGCAATGGCTCTCGCTTCCTATGGAACTGATAGGCTGCATAATTGAAAGCATCACACATTGCTGTATGTGCTGTATTACTTCTAGAGGTGATCATATTTCCATATTGAAGGTACTTTTCCTATAGCAAACTGACACCTTCAATTTGTTCATTTTATACATGTGCTAATTTCTATACTACCATATTTGTCTGGTAATTTCTTCTTATGTTATTTGATAACTTACTATGTGTTGCATATTGTGGGTAAGTTTCATTAAATTCTACACATAACTTTTTCAGTAAATCGTGATTTTTGTGATTTTTCCTTAATTTATGATAACCGGTGTAGTTGTTTATAGTAAAATTTATACATATTACATTTTTAGGAACTGCTGTTGTTGTTTGCCAAATATATTTCCTACTAAGGTTATTTTTACTCCATCTATATAAGAAACAGCATTACAAATATGAAATGCTCATAAACTCACCAGCCCATATTTGAATTCATATAGTAAGAGCTTTCAAATTCACTCGTTCAAAACAATGCAATAAATTGGGTTAAAATTATATTAATATGAAAAATTCATAAAACAAATGACAAAAATCTAACAGAAAATTTCAATCATTGCATCAAATACCTTTATTTTCTTTCGTTCTTCAAATTTGTGTAATTCTTTTTCTCATTCCGCAACTGCTTTACTGTCTGCTTCCATTGGTTTTTCAACTAAATAAATGTAAAATTATCATAATATTATTTAAACAGCATAAGACTTCTGCAAATATGTTAATTCTTTTCTGTGAATATTTATATGAATAAGATTTATTCTGATGGTAATAAACATTGACACTTGTTCAAAGCCTTCCTTAACACAATTGCTATTATATGTAGAATTCTTCAATGATTAAAATAAAAATTGTTCAATAATTTTCGTATAATATTATTGAAAAATTTTAATAAACTTTGAAGCCATTTTTAATAAATTTTGGTATAAAACACCCGTTACGACACAGCATCAGAATATTTCATAATCAAATTATTAGCATTCTTTTGGAGGGTTAAGGAAAAGAATGAAACACATTAGAAGACTGTTGTTCAGTATTAATGAAAGCTAGCGTTATAGTTTATGAAGCCAAATTATTAAATTATACATAAATATAAATGTCAAATTATAAAACGAACATACTCCATTTGACTGATCTTTTTACAAATTTAAAAATTTGATCAAGCATGGAAATTTAATTTACAGCAGCTAATGAAAATTTATATTAATACCATTTTAAGGGTAATCCTTAAAATTAGGATTAGGTAATAATCTGCCATATTCCTCTAAGCTGACAGTTTATATCATTGCTTTGTTAAAAACATGATATTGCATTATATCATGTTTTGTTAAAAACATTTCTGCACACATAAACTAGAAACACAAGAAAGCACAGAAATGCCTTATTTGTTCATTATTATGCAGTTTCATACATTGTAAGTTATCTGGCATAAAAACAACTGCATGTGAATGCTTTTGAATTCAGTGCCTGCTGTTATCAATATATACAGGGAAATTAAATTTATTTAATTTAAAAGTTGACTCTACATGGAAACAAGGAGCATATATATTTATCAAACATAACTTGCCTACAAAAATGACATCCCTCCCATTCAATTGATGTATCAGAAGTTCTCACCCTTTTTGCCCTAAGCACCTATTTCACCATTGCTAGATCATTCCCCACTCCTACACTCCTTCCACCAAACTCAAGATACATATACATTAAATTTACATTCTACATTATACATTTTACATTAAATTTAGATTACTTTTTAATGGAACAGCAGGAAGCATGTGCAGTCAAGCTGACCACATATTCCCTTGGCTGAGAACCCCTGTTCTCGTAGATATTTACAATGTTTCAGAGAACCTGGAAAAATGTTTCTTTATCTAGTTAGCAGCAGTTAATATTCCTTTTCAACATTTACAATGTCTGAGCATATTTTATGTATGTGGTTAGTTTTAAGGATTTCCACTTCACACACACTCAAAGGAAAAAAGAGAGAGAAATGAAAAAAGAAAAAGTAGTTCTATATTGATCAGATCTGCATATCTAGTTGCTGTAAAACAGATATCTTGATTGTCGGGGATCAGATATGATTTGGAAATTTTAAAAACTGCTCCAGCACATTCATTATGAAATCTGCTGTATCATATGTCCCTCTATCTTGTTAGTCCCAAAACTGATGTTTATCCTCGTACTAAGAAGACTCCGATAAAAAGATACAAGATTTTAAAACTCAGTATTTAATAATTTTTGTTACAGACACATCCACTAAGACAAAACTATGCCTAATCTTTATAAAAAAAAAAAAAAAAAAAAAAAAACTTTTAGAATGGATATGTCCACTGTACATAAAGCTCTTAAAAAAAATAAAAAAAATAAAAAAATAAAATAAAAAAAAAAAAAAAAAACCAGTCAGGAATGCAATACGTAGTATGACTCATCAAACACCTATATGCTTTAAAATCCCCTCCCATACCAGTATAGTTTATGAACCTCTTACACACAATCAAACAATACAGAAATCATCTAACAATTATAACAGAATATGCAGAAATAATGTGCTTTTATATGTGCAATCCATGCTTAAATTGAATTATCTGTATTATATAACATCTAGTAAACATGCTATTAAGTCAATTTTTGAGTTGTAGTTCATGTATAGGTAATTATTCAATTCTCAAAAGAGCTAAAACAGATCTAAGGATATATCTTCTTAATTTGTCTAATGAAATCTTTATAATATGATTCATTAAGGAAATAAATATTTGTTGGCTTTATGCTAATCTATAGAACTGCATCTGAATAACAGACAGGCATAAGTTCTCCTTCCATCTAGAAGCATAAAAGAAAAACCTGTTTCATATTAATTATAGCAAAATTTCCATGGCTGACTTTCAGGAATTGCCGAGTATAAGACTATACAAACTACCAAAGAAAATGTTAATTATCTTGGTAACTCAAAACAAGTAAATGATGGAAAACAGTAATAAAAATACTTCTACATTAAAATACCAGCATTTCAGAGCATAGCTATTTATCTTTGAAAATTACAGTACACAAAATGAAATAGGTAAAAAATATTTTAAATTTTTACTTACTCCTTTTTTTAAATGAAAGCTCATAAGAAATATTTTTTAACACAAAGATTTTTTTTTTTTAAACTTTGAATGTGACATCTTTATTTTTAATCTTCAGCATTAATTGTTAATTTTTACCTATTGCCTTCTGAACTTTTAAGAAAAATTATATATTGATGAGCACACAAAGTAAAAGCTATATAAACTGCGATACATTTAGTTTTCCCCCCCCCTTCCAAAAGTATGAATTTAAACTGTATAAGTCTATAATCCATTCCATCTACAGATAAGCATAAGAATTTTTGTCAAATAAACGTTGTTCTGAAATTTTGACAGATGCTTATTTCTTTATTATACCCATCACTATTTCCAATTAAATAAGAAACACGTATTTGGAAAATAATTCATCAAATCTAAAATATTTTCAAACATACGAATACATACCTATATTTACTTAAAAATTTATTTGAAAGTTTAAAATAAAAAATGACATGGACACACCTGTATGCTCCATTAAATTATACACTTTTTTTACTGAACTTCATTTAAACTTATTCCCTTTAATTCTTTTAACTTAATTGAACAATCTCTCAAAGCAAGTTGAAAATGACATCAAAACCGTCAAATTTTGAAATTAAATATCCTACACAATTTTTGTCCTATGAGAGTCAAACTTCTTATAATTTTATTTTTTCACGACGATACAAATTTCCCAAATATAAGTATAGAAACTAGGAAATTGCATTAAATATTAAACAATTTGAAGAAAGACATGGCCAAAAACTTGAATATAATTTTTATTCCTTGTTAAAGCAATTCTGAGATGATAATCTGACACTTAGCACATTTTAAGACTATGGATAACTTTTTGTTTTAAAGAAAGTGAGCAGCAGCAGCATGTTTTCAGAGTAAAAGGAAAATGAGTTAAAAAACAGAAAAAAAGATTAGATAGCAGTATAATTTTTATTGCAACTGACAGAATCAAGCATGTCAATGTGTTATTATATGTATATAGTATATACACTCACACCTGACTTTACTTGGCCTTTATTTTCACAATTGTTGGTTATAGCCATATACTTCCAACTAAAGAAGTATTTTTAATGATGAAAATATTCATGTTTTGGCGAAGTCAAATTTAAAAAAAAAAAATTACTTTTGGCAAAAAATAAGATCTAACTTTTAATGTGGTCTCTTGGTTTTTGTACTTATGTTTGGGAAAGTTTTATACTTGTTATAAATAAATAAAATCAGAGTTCTGACTCCTATATGACAAAAAATTGACCAGAATATTTAATTTCAAAATTTGCAATTATTGATGTCATTTTCAACTTGCCTTAAGGGATCAGTTAATTTAAGTTGGAATAATTTAATAGTCCAGCATCTCACTAATATGACACATCATCAATTACAGAGCTTCAATGTTTCAATAGTTAAACACACTAAAATAAAATATGTCCACTAAATTTCACAGGAAAGAAGCAAGAATAGACATATGAAATCTATGTATCTGGCATTTTCACTATATACACAAACTCAGAACTTGGGTACTGTTTATAAGACTCAGATATAGTTCTAAAAAGATTGGATTAGACTTTTTAATCTGGATAAGGTTACAGCTATCTGCTTAAACTCCAACCCAATTTTGACCAAGCATCTCCCCCTTTCCCAGTGGATGGAATCTGAAGATCTCATATTACTATGCCTTATATCAAAATTCTCAAAACGTCTTCCATTTCAACAGATTCTAAGTTTATCCACACCACAAAGATATTATAGTAACAAATATCTATGCCCTATTTAAAATTCAAATGCAAACCAAATCCAACAAGAAGACATTCGACTGGCATTAATCATCAAACAATTTTGGGCAGTAGTTATGGATAAAAAAGTATTATAAAGATTAAAATTTCTAAAAAAAAAAATAAATAAAGGGAAGGAAGGAAGAAAAGACAATGATAAATCTCTTTCTCTAAAGATAATATGTTTTTCTAGAAGAAAATAGATGATTAAGACACAATAACACGCCGAATAAATACTAATTCAGAAGTCAAACAACAAAAATCAGCTTAACCTTTTTATTAATTACAAAATTGCTCAAATTCTCCATATGTTACTTTTAAGTTATTTTTCACCTATCAGAAAAATTCCTCATTCGATTCTTAAATTTCCTGTCTCTGATTTTAATTCTTATGGAATGTAATTGTGTTAATGTGATTTGACTTATATCTGCTGAAATTCTGAAAAAGGCACTGAAATTTCTCATCAAGGAAACATTAAAAAAAGGGAAAATAAAGAAACGTTTGATAATAGAGATACATTCTGCAAGAAAAGAAGAGGAAAAAAGGTGGTCACGTAGTTTAAGAACAACAATCTCCACATGTGCACATCTTACGATGGAGTCTATAGCAGATGTACCACTAAAATTAATTAATTTTTCTAATTTAGAAAGTTACAGCTATTATGAAAAAATAAAAAGTACTCTTGGAAGTGATTTCTCTTTTCTTGATGTTAATAAAAAGGGTCTTCACTTGTTCAAGGAAAAACATGTCAATAACATTTGTTTTAAAGTAATGCCAGGTAGCAAGCCCTGTTAAGGCAGAAATGAAGAAAACAATTAATTAGTGCAAATTTCTGCAGAAAATGAGGTAAGATTTATAAATATTCTTTTTATGCACAATACTTACAAATATTCCTGTTTTACTTTATTAGGAATTTTAAGTGTATATCAATAGTTGAAAAATATTCCTGAGACATTGAATAATGTTTTCCAAACTTTAAAAATGTAAACATACTAATGTAAATATTTGTTAATAGTTCATGAATGGTTGTTCTAAATTATTGAATAGTTGAATTCATGCCAGATCTGCTTATATGCAAAAATATTAACGGTATAAGCTAAGCTAAAATTATCTATTTCAGTTAATGCTGCAGATTGCGTTGTTTGTTAATCTTCTAATTGGATCCGGCTTATTATTTTTTGCAGACTGTTACAGCAATTTTATAAAAGTAAGCTTGAACTTTCGATTATGTCAAAAAGAATTTCCGATTCTGGAGCTGCCAAAGGATCTACAAAGGAAAAGCATGTTTCGATGTCCATCAAACAAAAAGTGGAATTGCTGCAAAAAATGGATAAAGGCATATTCTTTGTTTCTCTAACCATTCCGAAATCTGTTTATCAATTTCATGTTGCTGCTCTGCGGGGGGGACGTCGCGGCACGCAATGAACTGGAAGTTGATCTGTCAGCACTATCCTTATCGTCAGGACAAATGTTTTTATTTTATTCGGCTTATAATTCCTTACTAAATGTAGTATTTCATCTCGATGTACTCCGTATTTGATATGATTTAAATCAAATTCCTCGTCATTATAAATATCACGAACACACATCAAATAGTTTTCTGGTTGCAATTTTCTAATTTTGACTATGCGTAATGTATGCTTTATGCATGCGCGCATTTAAAGAAATGTTTAATAAAGTAAACAAATAAATAATAAGCTTTTTTTTGTAAATTTTAATACAATTTTGATCATAATTGCTCTTTATTTCATAAACTACGGTTTCATATTTTTTATTTTATAATTTCTGCATGCCATCTTACCAGATTTAAACTGATGATCTATAATCCAGAAAAACCAATAATCCGGAATCGCCGAAATCCCGGCGAGTCCGGATTAAAGACTTTTGACTGTAATACAATGTATTAATTATTCATGCTAATGCTGGAGAAGCAGGTCATGGATAATTGAAAAATATGGATAACCCAAACTCTCAATTTTCATGTGTATTGTGTTTATTTATTTATGTATTTCAAATCAATAATTTTTACCTTATTTTTGAAAGCATTTAAATATTTGTCAAATTTTGTGACATATTTTTCATGTGCTATTTTATCATTGTATTCGAATTCCCTTCGGTCAAAGAATTTCAACACAGTTTTAACAAAAATCATTCCTTTCTCGAAAGCAGTGTAATTGTAAGTACCTTCTTCACTTGTATGTTCAGTATCACTCTCTGCCTCTTCTGTTCTTCTGACATTTGACATATGTCCATGTCACTCAAGCACTGAATATCCAGCTCTGTCGAATCACCGTAAAACCATTTCTCAATTGACATTGCCGAAGATTTTTATATTTTCAGTTTTTTGGAATACAACTTCAGTAATTGCCTTGATGTTTTCGCATTAGATAAATCTCAGATTTTTATATTAGGAAGAACCTTACCTCATTCTTGAACAAGTGTTATTGTTTTACAGTGGAACCTCGAGATACAAGTTTAATTGGTTCCAGCACTCAGCTCATATAGCGAATTTCTCGTATCTAGAAACAAACTTCCCCATTCAAAATAATGGAAATCCAGTTAATCCATTCCGCACCCCCAAAAATCTCATTGCCATCTTATCTTCAGTCGATGTACCTGGTGTTTTTCAGAAAAGGTCCAAGTACAGGTTCTTAGCCTTAGCGCAAATGATAGCTTCTGGCACCGAATCGTCTTTTAACTGATTCTCTGCAATTCACAGTAACAACAGCTTCTCGATATCTCCTAAGAGTTTTGGACGGTGCTTAGAAATAATGGTAACTCCTTTGGCCACATCAAGTTTCTTAATTTCTTCCTTCTCCTTCAGAATAGTATAGATCATCGATGTCGAACAACCGCAAGTCTTTGACAGCTCCATAACTCTTATATCACGCATATGTTTATCTACGATTTCTTTCTTAATTTCAAAGGCCATGGCTTCCTTCTTCTTTCAGCACTATCTGAGGCAACAGTCTTCTTGGGAGGCATCGTGAAATAATTATTTTCATGTTAAATGTAAAAGACAATTAACTCACAAGTGCACAAACACTTAGATCAATGAGCACTGAGTGATCTGGCAGGGAGATTCCCCGTGTTGTGCCGGATCGGGAAACACGACACTCATACCCACAGCCTGGCACCTTGCTCATAACTCAAGTCAATGCTCTTATTTAAAGATGAATTTTTCACTCATACTTTCCAAGTATCTCAAATTTCTTTTATATAGAGGTGCTCATATCTCAAGATTCCAATGTACTTGAGACCAAGCATTTGTTACTCCATATATGACATCAGTTACAGTCAACACTTTCCAGAACTTCATTAAATCATCATTTTCCTCAGCAAGAGTAATGAGGAGATGAGGTAATTGTTGAAACTTAACCTAAAGATACAATTCAGTTTTTTTTACAGCATGCTTTTTAAACACTCTCGCACACAGCATCGAGCGTGCATGGGCTCCGCAATGCACAGATAACCTACAAACCAGATAATCGAAAGTATACTGTAGTTTAATATTATAATATATTAATACAATTAATTACTATGTACATATTTTTCTTGTCTTTGATGAAGCAAATTTATCAATTAGTTCATCAAAGTCAGTCACTTCAAATTTTTCTCTTTCTACACTTAAAAAATCTAAGTCACTTAGGCGACCTTATCCCAACCTTGATCATAGATATATCAAAATTAATTTTAATTTTCTGAAATACCATTCACAGTTAGCAACTGATGCTGAAATAGCACAGAGTATTTGAAGTGCAACTCTCAGCTTTGGAAAATCTTCTCCCTACAAGATTATATAAGTTAGCTCTAGTAGAGTTTCAGGTTCAATTTTTTTCCCCCTACTGTGGAGTAATATCTTGCAGTAACATATTTCGACACAGAATTCTGTTCCATTAAAATCTGTATTATAAAATCAACCAAAATTTTTATAATTCTTTTCAAGATCATTATCAATATTATCCTTGTTTAATAAATTTTCAATGTCCAGTAATTATCCAAATTTGGAAATAAGATCAATTAGTCATGTACTTATTCCTTGCTGCAGACGATCAGGAATACTTTTCATTATGCAAGAAATTTCACTGATGGTGAAAAGGCCAAAATCTCTCGCGAATTCTCCGGCATTTTCTAACATGGATTGTTGTATCAATACCGCATTTTTTCACAAAGCGACTTAACCTTTTCTAATGTCTCTTCACAGATATCTCGAATTTCTGCAAGTTCATTCGCTAATGATTCAAGATCATGGAACACTTCTCTAAAATTCATTTTAGTATCTTCTAATCTGATCTGCACATGATCAGTTCTCCTCAAGAGTTCATGGCAGAAATGGACTTATTATGAATTTAAAATTCAGTGTATTTTGCAATAAAATTGTTGCTTCACTTCTGGTGTCACTTGTGGTAGAACTGTCCTCTGCTAATTTTTCTTGCACTAATTCTTCCAACTCATCTACAGTAAAAATAGTTGCTTGTACTCTGGCATTCCATCTTGTTTCAGATTCATGTTTAACAGATTTCTTTAAAGCATTTTTCAGTTCCCATTGTAATGCTGAATGTGAGAAAAAGAGATATATGTTTTTAATTATTCCAAAACATGTTACAATGACTGGATCTCGCTTAGCTGCAGTAACTTCTACTAAAATTAGTCAGTGGTTAACAAAATTTACAAATAATGCTTCATTATTCTTTCCCATAATTGTTTGCAGAACAACAGATATGTGACCTCACACCATGGCAGTAATATCATAATATAGTGATCTACAGTTATTTAATGAAATCTGATTAGAATTTAATTTTTAATAATTTGTATTTTCCATCGAGATTACATCTTTAACATGTATTTCAATAAATTCCAAAAACAATTCTTTGATAGAAACTTTTCTGCTGGTAACATCAATCTAAATTCTAAAGACTTGTGACATTTGTTCTCGATGATCAATATCAAGAATCGAATCAAATAATGCCCATAATATTTACTTTTTTATGTCAATTATTAATTGATTATTATAGTTTAATGGTAGAATTAATAATAGTTCAAAGTAGTATAACAGTTTTTCTTAATGTATTATAAACAAGATACAGTTCTGCTCTTCTTAAATTTGGGGAAAAGCTTGATTTTTAAACAAACATTACAACAACATTGGCAGTAAACAAACACTGGCAATGGACATCAACTATGACAACTGACAGAAAATCAAAACCATCAAGAAAAAATGTTTTACTACAATTTGGTGACTTTTAATAAAATAGCACTTACCTCCCCAAATGTGCTAATTTTAAAAAAGAAAAAAAAAAAAAAAAAACTTATCTGCAAATCATGATATTTCTTACAATTCGGTATATAAGTAAAAAAGTATATTTAGATGTACTTATTAATAAAATGAACTGAACCTTTACTTAAGGTCTGTTGCAGTTTCTGATATTCTTCCATTGCTTATGATAACTACTCTGTTTCATACTTGATTTCGGTAATTGTAACTCACTGTTTGTCATATTGTTTGTTTGATGTGTTATACCTGTTAAAATGAATAATCATAAAGTCATATTTCCAACAAGATACTTTCTACATATCTAAATAAAAATGACCTTGTAAATATATGTTATATGCATACGTATACATATGCCCATACATACAAAGAAGAATAAACAATTATCTCCAAGGTAAAGCAAATTTTTTTTAAAAAGCTTGTGCAAGTGTATATCAAAAGTTTAAATAAAACATAATATTGCAACAGACAAAAATTACTGCAAAAGACCAAAAACATTTAAAAACTAATTATTGCCATTGAACAGAGATTAAATGACTTTTCAAGGGGAACAAATCAATCTCTGCCCAATTAACAATAAGCGATTAAGAAGCAATTTTGTTTCATCACATCTATTTGTAAAGTAAAACAAATCAGGACTTGATCGAGTTGAAACCTAAACTAATTGCATGTAAAAGACTGTATTAAAGCTGAATAATTAAATAGTCAAAAATAAAACAAGCAATATAAATTGCCAAACAAATTATTAAAGTAAAAATGCTATAAAGCTTTCAAAAAGAGCTCATTCTCTGACAAAATCATAAGACAAAAACCGAAAAGATTGAAAGTCATCAAAGCATGCCAAATTTAAAATAAGAACTTGAAAAACTTATTAAAAACGCATATAACACTAAATTAAAATTTAAAATGCAAGAATATACAAAAACTATTGAAAAAATTTAAAACTGTACATTAAAAAGCCCAAACAACAAATTAAACTTACATGTTTGTACAGCAGGACCCAAAGCAAAATGGCAAAAACTGAATGATGCTTGGAGTACAAAAAGGGTTGTCATGAAAAGGAGAAGTTAGACAAGTTTTAAATCAATTTTCGGAAAGCAGGGAGTTGGGTTATCAAGAAATGGCGAGAGAAAAAACTTTCCAAAGTAAAATTCGCAAGAGAGTTGTACTTCAAACATAAGAATTAGCTAGAAACTTACAAACATTAAAAATCAACTTATTTCTGGATACGTATTTAAAATGTACAGATGAGATATAACTTCTTCACTTGAAGAGGATGACCATCAAGTTTGAAAAATATAAAAAGGCTCATTTGTTAGTAAAAGTATTAAAGCCAGAAGAAATAGTTTTTTTTTTTTTTTTTTTTTTTTTTTTTTTTTTTTTTTTTTTTTTTTTAAGCGAAACCATCTACAAAGCAAAACCATGTTTCGATGTCCATTAAACATAAAGTGGAATTGCTGCAAAAAATGAATAAAGGCATATTTGTCTCAAAATTATGCATTGGAAAGTCAACTGTATATGACATAAGAAAATTATTATTTAAATCATTAAAATTTTTATCATTAAAAATTTTTATGGAATCAACTTAAGCAACTTACATTGAAAGAAATGTTTAATAAAGCAAAAAAATAAATATTAAACTTTTTTGTAAATTTTGATGCCCTTTAATCATAATTGTTCTTTATTTTATAAATTATGATTTTCATATTTTTAATTGTATAATTTCTGCATGCCATCTTACCAGATTTAAATTGATGATCTATTATTCGGAAAAATCTCAAATCCGTAATCGCCGTAGTCCCGATGAATCCGGATTTTGGACTTTGTACTGTATTTGGATTTAAGTGATGCCACTGTTAGACAAGGCTGGCAGGAATGGGTGAACCATGGCCAAGCATGGCGTCAAGAAAGAAACGGTCGGCCTAGAGAGACAACAAAACATGAGCACCAATCAATCATCATAGTGGCACTCAGAGCCTCAGATTCATCATTATCATCAATCCTATGTGCAACTGGTGCTTCAGCGACCACAAGGACCATTAAAGCTATATTCAATCAGTGGTATAAATGTCATAGACACATTAAATGTGGGAGGCTTACTTCCCATATTTAATAATTTATTCTATTTCATAGGTGAAACAATATAATTACTTATTGCCTCTTGTCAGTGAGAAACTAATTATGAGAAAAACCTCTGATACCATTTGAGAAGTTTTCTGTATGCTTAAGGCAAATAATTTTATTATATAAATTTAACTTAGTCAAAGGCAACTATTTTTAAAAAAGTATCATATATTTACAAGCCATAAGGTGTAAATATACAGGGAATGGACAAAAATATGGAAACACCATATAAAATGTATATTTGAGCTGAAATATTTATTCTTGCAAAAGCTGTGGGTGGCACTGATGTGTTTGCTCATGAATGCCACCTGTACAACATCCTCAATACACTGCAAGTGTCATTTGTTATCACGACAGTGTTTTGTGCAGTTGCAAGTGCATCATGTCGCAATTAATGAACTCAAACGTGGGCAATTGTTGGGACTCGTATGGTAGGTGCTTCCATAACCAAGGTAGCTGAAGTGTTTGGTGTTCAAGAGGCACAGTATTTAAGATTTTTAACTCATACAGAAAATCTGAAAAAACTGCATTCCTAAATCACACTGCAAACAAAAGTATGTGTTGGGTGATCATGACAGACACTCACTGAAGAGGATTGTGATGAAAAATAAGCTACCGCAGCAAAAGTGACTGCTGAACTTAATGCTGCACTCACACACTCTGTCAGCACCAAATAGGGGTGACACCTAATAAGAAGGGAGTTCCACAAGCACTGTATTTTTGGGCGTGCTGCAATTCAAAAGCCATGCATCAGTGATCAAAATGTCTGAGAGGAGAAAGGAGTGCAAAAGTCATAAAACCTGGGCTGTAGGATGATGGAAGACTGTCATTTGGTCAGATGAGTCTTGCTTCATGCTGTTTCTGACTTCTGGACAAGTTTACATCTGGTGAACGCCATCTCAAACACGTGATAGAACTGTTTGCTGCTGAGAGTGAAACATAGCAGGGGTTCAGTCATGGTTTGGGCAATCATATATGGCATTCCATGAGACCCATCATTACTGTGAAAAGTCATTACTACCGAAGATTATGTGACCATTTTAGCTGATTACGTCCATTCCATGGTATAAATTGTATTCCCCAATGGTGATGCCATATTCTAAGATGACAAAATTCCTGTTCACTCAGCTCACATCGTTCAGCACTGGTTTTCTGAGTATAAGGGTGAACTTTCACATCTACCATGGCCACCACAGTCTACAGATATCAATATTATTGAACCTTTGTGGCCTATTTTGGAGAGAGAGAAATCTGTGTGAGCGCTATCTATCGCGATCATCCTAGACTGAACTTGCCAATGTTTTACAAGAAGAATGGTACAAGATTCTCTTACAAAACATACAAGACCTCTATTTACCAAGATTCCCTTACAAAGCATACAAGACCTCTATTTACCCATTCTGAGAAGACAGCAATCACGACAAGACCTCTATTTACTCATTCCGAGAAGACATTCAAATCATGTAATAATCAATGGGAAAAAAGCTTCCAGAAGCCAGAAACTAAGAATTACAGAGCAACTTTCTGAGCCTATAGGAGTGATTTTAACTGCATAAATTTATGTATTTGTGAAGTAACAATGACTTACATAGTTTCAAACAATACCAAAGTCTGTGAATCACATTTGATGTCATGGCTGTGAAAAGAAAAGGCCACTGTGAATCATCATTGATGCACATGGCAGTTAAGGTTTTAAATATTATTATTTTGATAATTAGGCTATTAGAACATAAAATTTATCACTTTCAGTGTTTTTTACATTGTATAAATGAAAGTTTCTTCTAATACAAAATTACTTTCCTTTCATTTTACATAAATCTGATATTTTCAGGATAATAAACTTACCATCACCAGCTCCTACACAAATTTGGAAACTGCCATTTATCTTCAAAGCCAGATGCAATGGCTTCCCCCTCTTTTACTGATTGAGAAAATTTTACGTATTTTTCCATGTAAAACATCTACAATTACTCTGCACACCTACGGAATAAATGTGGAAATGGTTGACTTTCCTATCCAGAAACATAATGATAAGATTTGGTAGCAGTATCCAGTAGCAAGAAATCTGAAATAATATTAGCATAACAGAATTAGAAATAAAAAATGCTAAACATAAAATTTAGGTAATTAATTTAAAGTACAGCAGAGGTAATATAACAAAAATTATTAAGCTTCTGATGAACAGCTACAGGGACATTTATGAAATGGATGAGCTCATAAGTAATAAATGCCAAACAATGTTTCATTTCTTATTTCACTTAATAACCTTAACCAATAAATTACTAATTAATTAATTTTTGCAAAGGACCAGACGTTTTAAAAGAAAACTGGCTCACTTATATTACATATTAGGAAAGCAATGAGCACACCACAAAACAAATGAATTAGCTTGATCCGATAAAAACTACAAAACAATTAGCAATGTTTTCTATCTTTAGCAATTCAGGTGCTAAATAATTAAATGTAAAATTCAAATAAAAGTATTAACCGCTTACCTTACAAATTTTTTTGAAAAAAAATTGCAAAAAAATCATCACATTTTTTTATTTTTATTATTAAATACAACAAAACGAAACAAATCAAAATATATAGGTTTTGAGTTGAATTTTTAATTTTCTGAAGGTGTAAAAGCATTTATTTTTATTATTAGTTTACTATCCCGAGTTATCTCGAACAAACGAAAAAAGTTAAATATTAATCTTTGTATGATAGTTTTTGAAACAAGGAACAACACAGAGTGATACCTGACATTCTACACTGGAATCTGGTCTCTTTTCTTACTGGCTTATCGCTGGAATCTCTTTCGCGGGAGCACATAGTACACTGTCTTGTTGGATTTGATTCCCCCCCCCAACCTTTTCATAATCACTATCTGAAAAATCATCGCTTTCACTATCTTCCAACATCGCCATTATTTTATTTTTTTCAATGCATGCATCCTTCTTTATACATTGCTAATCCCCAAGCCAAAGTATACCATACAATAGGGAAACACGCGACCAGTCCCTCGAAAAGAACCGCGCAACCAACAAAATTTGGCAAACTGCCAATCAAAGCTAAATATTTCCTTTCATTTCCTCCAGACCGAGTAAAACCGTGATAAAAGAAATCGTACTAACAAATTCTGCTTTGTCCGAGTTTTCTCAGGATAATAATTAACTGCAATATATATGAACCCAAGATAACTCCGGATAATCAGGCAAGCGGTTAAACCAGTAATACAGAAAATGAAGTTTTTAAAGACCCCAAACACTACAGCAGAAATTAGTACATAATAAATATCAATAAATCTCAGTATTAATTATTTCTTATTTAAATTTATCTTTCGGTTGGCTTTGATTATAAATGAAAAGCCTATTTTATTTTAAGAGTATCTTTCACAGTCCCTCTTCTCCAGAATTTAGTTTATTATTTAAAATTATTCTGTAAAATTCTGTATTCTTTTATTAATAATGAATAAAATTAGGAAAATGAAAATAAAATACAAACAGCTTGAAGTCATAATGTGTAAACAAATAAATAAGATATGTACATGTATATCTATTTACACCTTATGAATAACTATACATACACAGGGGCTGGACAAAAATATGGAAACATTGAAATAAAATCATACTGCTATATATGTATAGCACCTGTACAACTAACGTAAAGGTGGCATTCAATACTAATATGGTGTAGGAAAACTGCTGGCATTCAAAACAGGCTTCTCGGAATTATTGTATTAATGTTGTAACAAAAATATTTTATTTCACTAATTACATATAGTAAACATATATGACTTTAATAAAATATTCTGTATATTTATTTTTAGGTAATTTTGGACGTTTTAGTGATGCAGAGGTATTTTTTAATTGTTTCCTTGGATGAGCATTAGATAATAACACTCTCCCAAATGATAACAAATTGTCTAAAAGTGCCAGAGTTTTACCTCATGTTTTTGTAGGCAATGAAGACTTTAGTCTAAAAAAGCACTTTTTGAGACCCTATCTTCAAAGCAGAAACAACTTTTCATGTTCAAAGAAGTTTTATAATTGTAGGCTCTCTCGAGCAAGAAGATATATTGAAAACACATTTGGCATATGCTGGCAAGTTTTAAGAAAACCACTTCTTTAAACATCAGTAAATAACAAGGCAGTTGTGAATGCCTGTTGCTGCCTCCACAATTTTTTAATTAAAGATGGGATAGAAAAGGGCAACAAATATAGTATCCAAAAAAAATATGATGATCACCCTTTGTTGTATGGAAAGGTCTAATATGGGGTCTGGAGATCTATTGAGAGTTTAATATCCGTTTCTCAACAGTCTTCAAACAACTCCACAAGTCTTGCAAAGAACGTCAGGGATAATTCATGCCAAGTAATTTTTGAATGAAGGTTCAGTTCCCTGGCAAGTAAAGTATACATATACATGTATATTTACTAAACTTAACTTACTAAACTAGCGCTTATTAAGTCTAAACTGCGTCATTCAAATTAATCATCTGATCCTACATAAAGCTTAATGCAGATACCTCTTGACCAATCACCAAATTGTAAACCAAAACTTTTTAACTCGAACTGAAAATTTTTGACTCTCTCCCTTCTTTGCTGCGACACTTTCACTTATGCTTTCCTCCTGGCCAGATGCTTTGCAGCTACTTCCTTTTTTCACTGTACTAACAAAAATGTAAGACATAAGACACCTGTCCATATGTGAACAAATATTGCGAATCCAGGATTGCTTTCCTCAATAATAAAATTATCTTGAATCCGGCCATGTCTGCCTTGCAAGTTTCTTCGCTATGCCATCGCCAAGTTCCAAATCATTCTTATCACGTCATATATATATTTAATAGGGCTCATGGTGATTTTCTCTCTAAACAACAAACATGAGTGGAAGTAATTACAACAAGTTCACTAGGCAACACAAGAAAGTACGTGACATGCTTTTTTTAATGATAATTCATATTTTCACAATAGACTTATTGGCATATAAATATATTAAATACTCGTGTTAGCATTTTTTAATAAAGTTTACATAATCCAATATTAAAATATGTATAGAACAGCATATTTCTGTGCAAAACAATGCAATATGGAATATGGAATTGCATAATGCAATATGGAATTGCATTATACATACTATAAACATGTATATGCATTTATATATATATATCTCATAAATTACTTCACACAAGTTTCGTCGACTGAAATAATTCAAAGCCCCCCACTGCCAAATAATAAAGAATTTCGGAAACACAACCCTTCTGAGTAAGACGCGAAGAGAACACTTTGCCCACTTCCCACTAGAAAGAACATCAGTTAATTAATGCTTTTCTGGCCTTTTATATCTTCATGTACATTCCCTTTTCTTATTATATATATTTAAAATTTCAATTTTTATTTTTTGATTTGTTTTTGCAAAGATTGCATTATATTTCTTATATTTCATAATTTTCTAATGTTTATTTCAATTACTTTGAGTTCTATTTCATAATGCCAATTTCCAATGTTTAATTTTTTACAAATAGTTTTGAATTAAAATGCATAAACACGAGGGAATCACTGAAGTAATTTATCAATTTTACTGCATAAGTTGCTTTTCACTCAAAATTGAATTAGCGAAAATGCCTAATCAGAATGAGTTCTTTAGTGCTCTGCATTGGTTCTTGATCCCTTCAATTCACAGAAATATTTGGCCTAACTTAAATTGCCAGTTTGGCATCGCCTTATTACTTGAGTAAAGGACGAAACACCTTTATTTATTTCTTAATTATTGTTCATTGAACGGGAGTTGGTTTGTTCCCCTTGAAAAGTCAACTAATTTCCGATCAATGGCAATGATTACTTGCTTTTAATTTAATTTCTTTTTACAATTGAAATTTTTATTATTCATGATTTAATTCAAGTCCTCGTTAAACATTTTTAACAATTTACATTCAAGTTACTTTAAAACAATTTTCGGAATTAAACTTACTAACTATGGATTTACTCTTTTTAGATAATTCTACTAAAATTAATCTTAGGAGATAATATAATCAATATTTCTTTAGTAAATAAATTATATATACACATAACCTTATTTAAATTTTGTATGCAGTTTCTCTCAGGAGAAATACCATATTCTAAATGTACCAAATTAAATAAAAAAAAAAACTTGAGGATAAGTGACAGTTAGCCACTATACAATATTTGTCCCATTTTGGAGGTGTGAAAGCAGTTAAAATGAAAACAGTACTTACTATACACTGCGATAAAATTTTTACCATCAGTCAAAAGGAACATGTTTCTATGCTTAGCATTCCTTATTCAGTGTCACAGTCGGTCACTACAGTAGTTGGCCGCACTACCAGCATCATTATCCCTAGTACCAGTATCCTATGCCACGTCACCATAACTACAACCACAAGCAGCGCTTAATTTCTAAAATTAGAAGTACCAGAGCCCTATGGAAGGCTGTCAGGAAAGAAGAACAAAAGTAAAAAAATAAATAAAATGGCTAGTAAAATAATTAAACAGTTAAATAATTAATTATTAAAATTAAATAATTAATGATTAGACTAATTAAACAACTAATACTAAAATTTAATAAAATGTAAAGACATAAATAAAAATATAATAAGTTAATAAATAAATGGTAAATAATTAAATATTAAAATAAAGTACTAGACCCTGACTTACTTTGGGGGTTTTCGGCTGGAATTGCAATTTCACACAAAAAGTAAGAAATAGCACAACTAGTCTCCAGTTTAATTTAAGCTCTGAATATAATGTACTACTTCAAAGGATGATAGAAATGAAGACCATTCTTTTTGATAAAGCATCATTAATGAAACTACAGAATGCTATAAACAGTAAAAGAATATAGAGAAAATCTTAACGGATGACCTGTAGGTAAGGGGAGATACAGAAGAGTCCATTTTCTGACCACAATCTCCTCTCAATATACTTCTAGCTGTCAAGCAAAATATGATAGGGGGAACAAATTTCCGCCAAATCGGATGATTAGCTGAGAAAAAAAGTAACAAGTGACAAGTTTCATCCCCCAATCATTGGTCACATGGTTCCAAAAAGTCTGCAGGTGCTCTTTTCTGCGGAAGACACTAGTATTGGAAAGAAAAATTTACCCACTCTCATAAATTCATTGTACTTTCTGAAGAATAAGCCTTTGACATCTGGGTGGGAGCTTCTTTCTCCTTAAAAATCTTGACCTGTGTCTAAGGGTTTGTTTCCTAAGGAAAGAGAAACATGCATTCAGAAATTAGAATCGATTTTTAATATAATTTTATTATTAAAAATAAAATTTTCGAGATCAGATTTCTGCTGAAATTATTATTCAATTCCATTAAAGAAGCACCGAAGCCTTCTCATTTAGGGTTCCAGTGCACTCCGACTAGAATTATGATTTATACCCAATACTAAGAAGCACCGGAGCCGAGTTCCAGCACAATTTAAGCTCTGACCACAATTAATACAATCCTATGAAACGTTCACCCAACAATTATGGAATTTAAGCTAAATCTTTAAATACATGCTGCTGTTTTGCCAATTATTTGTATGTATATCTAGTTCTAAACCTTCGCATGTATAAACAACTCCTCTGATTTTCATGCACTTTTTGTGAAAAAATACCTGAATTTAATAGTAATTCAAAAAGTTTTTCCTCAGTATGTGCTACAAATCTTAACAATCATTATGCACTTCAGCATAGAAATATTGAAATGTATTTTGTCTGACAAAGGTCATAAAATGATTTCCAACCTTTTAAATTTACAGTTACAGTACACCAAGATCGGACCAACAAATTAAGTTCCTGTTTTCTGCATTTTGCAAAATTAATGCAATTTTTTATTACTTTGATATTTTCTTGTATTATCTTTCAGAATATTTCTTGCAAGTAAAATAGAAAATAGCACAGAATTGCTCCCCCCCCCTTGTGGATAAGTGATTTAAATTGTTACCATCAATTGTATACGCTTTATCACTTCAAAAAAGCAAATTACCATCGTATGAAAAACATTTTAATTTTTATGCAGTTCATCAAAACTGGCATATGCTTGCAAAACAGTCTGTTCCAAAAATATGCTGAAAGTGGCACACTTTATCATTCAAGAACTTTTGCAAGTTAGTCTGCAAATTGTTATATTAATAACACATGAGTACTGAATTTCTCTCTTAATATCACATGAGTAGTGTGTTTCTCTCTTAATATCGCACGAGCAATTCAAATTAAACTCAGCTCTCCTGTGAGATGTCACAGATGTAGGTTTCATCCATGTCAATTTTCAGAAACAATTACTTTTAATGATTTCATTTGTTGACAGATTAAGATTCTTCACTCACTGGCAAATTACCATTATATATTAACCCTTTCCAGATGGGCATTCCACCTATACATCACTGGAGAACACACGTAAGGGACAGATGATGTATATATGCATTTTAAGCTTGGATAAAAAGACCACTAGATGGCATTCTGTATTCATTACTTTTGAACTTAATATAGTTTTAGGATCCTGAGCTTCAGTTTGATCACACTCTACGTAATGTTGGTTTCAGCCGTTGTGGGGCTGGGAGGGGAAGCATAATGTAAACTAACAGAGCTCAGGCTCTTTAACTCACCATGTGACATAAACATTCACATTTCCAATATCCCTTCAAATATTTTTTTATTCTTTTTTTGTTACTATGCAGGGTTCCATTACGTTTTGCTTGCTTTTATCGCTTATATTTTGCATACGTACTTCCCTTTTTATTTCAGAAAGCCTCGACTTCAGTCTATCATAGCAAGCAAGCATTTTTTATCACAGGAAATGAGCCAATTAGTGACATGAATGAGAGTGATGATTCATTTTCTAAAGAGATAGACAGCAATATTTCTAGTGAGACTCGTGCAGGCATTTTGTCTGAGTGTCATTTACTGAGTGTCAGCCTTGGTGTCCGCCGATAACATTGCGGCAAAAACATCGTGGACGAAAACGTCGCGGAGAAAACAACGCAAGGCGAAAACGTCGTACTACAAAACATCGTGGGAGAAAACATTGCAAAGAGAAAACATCGCAGTTCTAAAACATCGTGGTACGAAACATCGTCGTCGAAAATAAAGCGGTTCAAAAACATCGCAGTTTAAAAACATCGTCGTCGAAAATATCGTGGTAAAAAATAAAGTATCTACAAATCATCGCATGACGATAACATCGCAGACATGCTTTTTTCAGGTTTTAATAATTGTAAATGGATATTCCCATAATGATTTGTGAGCGCAAGGTGTAAAGAAGGATAAATTTTACTTTCACATATTTTATTAACTAATAAATTTTTGCTGAAAACGTAAGAAGGAAACTTAAGCATAGAAAATTAAATGTAACTTATAGATTATACTTTTCATGAAATATTACCAGTAAAAACTTTATAAAAATGATTTAGTAATGGCCTTTGTTAGTTAACTATGTCGGTTTAAAATTCTATTAAGTGCTATAAGTTGCATTAATTTTTTATGCATAAGTTTCCTTTTTATTTTCTCAGCAAAAATTTATTAATTAATAAAAAATATGAAAGTAAAAATTATCCTTCTTTCCATCTTGCGCTCACAAATCATTATGGGAATATCCATTTACACTTATTAAAGCATGCCTGAAAAAAGAATGTCTGCGATGTTATCGTCATGCGATGATTTGTAGATACTTTATTTTTTTTTACCACGATATTTTCAACGACGATGTTTTTAAACTGCGATGTTTTTTTAACCGCTTTTTATTTCGACGACGATGTTTTGTACCACAATGTTTTAGAACTGCGATGTTTTCTCTTTGCGATGTTTTCTCCCACGATGTTTTGTAGCCGACGTTTTCACCTTGCGTTGTTTTCTCCGCGACATTTTCGTCTGCGATGTTTTTGCCGCGATGTTTTCGGCTGTAACCGTCAGCCTTCCACTTCCTGTGAAAGATTTTTTACTTCTTGTAAATAGCCTTTCTTGAACACTTTTTTTTTTTTTAATTTTAAAGTTTAATGTATTATGTAAATTCAAATTTGGAATAATTTGAATAGAATTCCAAAAATTATTTCTCAAGGTACACAAATTTTTTATATATTTTCACATAAAGGAAAAAGATTATTAAATGGTAATTTTAACATATATGATAGCTTAAGTAATAATTTAAAATAGTAGTAAAAATTATGACGTTAGGACTTAAACCTTTTTGTGTGTGATTTTTTTTTTTACTAAAGTTAGGCTTAGCAACACAAAAACCTGTCGTGCAAAACAAATCCTTTCAACTCTCATCTGTCTTAAGGGAATATCTTAAACTTATTCAACTACTCAAGTCACGCTATCTCGAAAGGGTTAAAGCACCAAAAAGAGTTTAATTTCAACATATGCTGTCATCTTTATCTACCTCCAATATCTCAAAAGTACTTTCACATAGACAAATTTTAGGTACCCAGCTTTTCAAGACAATAAAATTACAAACATTGATTATCCATCAATTTCTATTAGAGAAAGCATGAATTTAACACATAAAAATTTCATACAAATGATATTAATAAAGAGTGGATTATAAATAATAAATATTGTGTTATTCATTAAATTATACTCTACATAATGAATTGCATATGTTATTCAATTTCCTCAACAAAAATTCTTTTCATGGAGAACGAAATTCAGAAACAGAACTGAAGATCATCAGGAGACAAAACTGTCTAGAACTGTAACTGCTGTTTTAAGGATACTTCTTGGACTAAATATGAGCATTTTCTCAAAAGATTACATTTTTTAACTACTTATACAACACTTACACCACTAAATTGACTATTGTTCTTAAAATGAAAATAATTCTGAAGTAATATATCTACTGCTAAAAATGCATGAAAAACAAAGATTCTTGATATTGATTTGATGTTTTAATAAAATTAATTCATAAAGTTTGTAAGTTTGTTTGGAAAGAAAATCAGCATTTAAAGCAAATAGCAATACAATATTTCCAGCCTTTTTCAATAAATTTATTCTCAAAACCTTGAAATAATTTATAAACAAAGAAATAATAAATTATCACAAACATTATATATATTAAAGAAATTTCATAATAAAATGAAAAATAATGGTATCAGTCATCTACAGGATCATACCACAGCATACATGATCCTGAGCTCAACTTTTGCTTTTAGAGTTTCATCTATATTTTTCAATTTATTATACAAACTCATTAAAAATGCATGTATTTGTCATACAGTTCTTTTGACACATATCATTATTTTTTTCATTAATTTTAAAACTTCATGCTGAAAATTTTTATTTTTACTTTTGACACTTTTTGGAGTTTCCATAGCATTCTGATCATCTTGATGTTAATATCTTCATCACAGGAAATGTCAAAATGATTAATACATATCTTCACTTCCCCAGCAACAAGTGGTGATGCATAGCAACAAATGGGCTCATGAACTGCAGTCTTTACACTGGAACAAAAGCTACATGGGAAAATAAAATAATGCACAATACGAAAAAAAAATGATCACTATGCACAGAATTTAAAATTCTCAATGCACATGCAGATTTAGTGAAACTTTATTAAATAACTGCTTTGTTTTAGGATCCATGATATACGGTACTCTTATAAAACCATATACCATGGATATACAATTACCAGGGATAAATATATAACAATGGAAAAATATATATGTAATTACCGTGGATAAATACACTTTATAACAAAAAAATCGACGCACCAAGAAGGAGTTGTCCGATGGAGACATAGCTTGGTGGATAGGAAAATTATGTACAGAATAGAAAATGATTAAAATTTCGTAACAATTGAACGATTTATTTCAGAGTTACTTACTTACAAAGTCACAAGCTCAATAAGACCACCTCTAGCCTGGATGCAAGCTGCCATACGGCATGGCATCGACTGCTAAAGCTCTCAACAAAAAATATATAATCTCAATAAACTACATTTTAAATCAAACAATGAAATAACTTTAAAAAAAAAAAAAGAAATTCGTCTTAGCACTACACAAAAGAAATATCCACTTATCTTATTTTCCTGTCTTCAGTCAAACAAAATTCCTTAACAGCATCCAAAAACTTCCTAAAATTGTCTAAACTAGAGTCTGTATACTAGCATCGCCACATAAATTCACCAAAAAAAAGAGTAAAAAATATCCTCCGTAGTGCGGTATCCTCCGACGTTCAACCATTTGCATTTCCCTCCCACAAACAGGACACTTAGAATGGCTACTAAGTAAACCTTTCATTTAAACACCAATCAGTTAATGCTTTTTTCCCTTTTGTTCCAAATTGTACAGAAACTTCAAATTAATCTTACTACACTCAGTCATTTTACCATGTAAACCACAAAATAACCAATGCACTATTTCCTAATCCAAAATGTCAAGCACTCAAAAAAGCCCTTTCCAAACCCTTTTCCCATCATTCAAATTAACTGCACAATCATACAACCAAATACATGCCATAATACAGATTTCCATAAGCATTCAACTACTCAAGTTATCAAAAATGAAAAAACTTTGCAATAAATGAAACAACAACTTGGCAATAATCCAAGGGGCAGCTTTAAATCTACTCTAACCAAATTTTAATAAATATACCCATTGCCATAAAAATTTGTGCTCGAAGAAGTAATTGTCAGATCATAACTAAATTTAGTATTAGGATATATGTGCCCTTAATGAGACAGCCACTGTTTTCTCTGTTTAGAGTTGTATCACACTCGACAGGACTGGACCATATGGAACTAGGTTGTCTTTAGTGATGAATCGAAATTCAGTTTGGGCGGATGTAACAACAATGTATGTGTGTGGAGGCAGCATAATGAATGTCCCAATCCTGCCATTGCTTTACTGTGGCAAACTGCTCTCATAGCTAATATGATGGTATGGGGTGTGCCATAGCACATGACACAGAGTCGCAAGTAATACTGATCCATGGCACCACGACAGGGCAGCAGTATGTTTGTAATATTCTTCAATCACATGTGTTACTATCCCAGGAGGAATTTTTCGACGAGATAATGCTCAATCACACACAGCAAAAGTATTACAGAAATGCTTTTGCTACATTATCACCCTTTCCTGGCTTGCACAATCCCTATAATTGTCACTAATCATGCAGGACTGCAATTTCTTGGGATGGCCAGTTGGACAGTTTCGTCAAACTAGAGGCATACTTACAGTAACTGTAAAATGAAATGATGCAAGGCATGTATGACTCCCAAGCTCATATTTGTTAACAAATTTTTACCAAGCTTGAGATTAACCATTTTATTAGGACTATAAAACACCACATATAGTCAATTTTCAAGAAAATTAAAAATATATGTGATGTATCAGATTTAGTCGTAGCTTAAATAATCAGACGATAAGTTTAAAAAACAGGATCCATTTATTATTATTCAGGAGAAATAGCAGTTACAAAAACCAGATATCCGGAGTAAATAAAAAGAATTACTAATAACTTTTTGTATGAAGTTTACTGCATTGTGACATTTAAAAAAAAGCTCCCGATATTCCTTTTGTGAGAACTTTTATAGCCTCTGGAAAGGCGGAGCTTCCAAGAAATGACGTCAGCCTTGTCAGCCAATCCAGTTCACTTTAAATATTCCAGAACATTCTATAACTGTATGTGTAGAAAAAGGCGGGAAAACAACTTGACTACGGAGCTGTGGATTTAATTCCACATACTTTCAAATAAGAGAACGTCGCCATTAAAATTGAAAAGAACATACAGTTAGAATTTTAAGCATATTCTTGACTATGGAATTTTATTATTACAAATATATATATTTTGGTATCTCCATTTTAATAAGCATTGGGGGCTGATCTTTGGAATATGGTAACAGGTAGTTTGGCGACATTTTGGAGGCGATAAAGGTAGGATAACCTAGGACTTTGGGAATAATGTGAGAAGTATTCAGTTCCGATTACGCATTATTTTGTGTGAGGGAAATGAGAGAGATCATGAGATATGTCATGTGACATTAATGGACGAATCACTGTTCTTTAATCGGAAAAGGGGGTAAATTTGTAAAAATATCTGCTGTACAGCATTAGTTTCATTCTATGTTCTGTGAAACAGTGTTGTTTAATATTTGGATCCCATGGCCGCTATATAAAGTAAATCCTGAAATTTTTATTCCATTTATGTGTAATTGAAGAAAAGAATTGCTTAATTGCGGATAAGTATGAATGTCCAACATGTGGGTATGAAATGAGAATTGTGTGAAAGGAAGGATATTACAGATAAGTTTGAATGGTGGTGCAAGAAATCTGGTGAAAATGGATATTTTGTGATCCGCCATGCACTCAAGATTCTGTAGAAGATTAGGTAAGTTAGTAGTTTTTAATTATTTGAGGATATTATTTTTTATGCATTGTTCTAAATGTAAGGAGTAAATAAATTAATATGGTATTATTGGAAAATTGTTATTAGTAATGATTTAGTTTAAAGTAATTAGGATTGTAAGCTAATTTTTATTAATTTAATGTATGTGCTTATTTATATTTTAAGTAGTGTTTTTTAATTATATTTTAATTTAATGATCGTGATTTTGAGAGTTATATGTTTGTAGTAATTTGGAATACGTTTGAGTAGAAGTAAATGTGCATAGAAAGAATTTAAGTATTTGACACTAAGTATTTGGAACCATTTTTAATGTTTGCGTTAGAAATTGGTAGGTGAGGTTTATAATAATAATAATTAGAGATAATTTATAGGGAAAAGTTTTTGGATATTTTATTATTTTATACGTGCAAATGTTCATCCTTTGGAAAGGGTATATGCAAGCTGAAGGTATAAAAGCTTGCATAGTATACATACTTTTTTGCGATCAGGTAATTTCATATATGTCCTTTTTACCGAATTTAAAGATTCACAAAATTTTCATGCATTTTCGTGAAATTTTACTAATTTATGAGAAAAAAGCAGTGTACATGGATACAGTGAAGATTGTGCGCAATGCCATTTTTGTGCAATTCTGGGTTTTTTTTTAAGTAAAAATAAGTCGACATGTACATGGTTTAATTATATTTTAATTAAATGATAGTTATTTTGTGAATTATATGTTTGTAGCAATCTGGTATACGTTTGAGTGGAAGTAAACGTGCATGGAAATAATTTAAATATTTGACACTAAGTATTTGTAACCATTTTAAATGTTTTGTTATGAATTCGTTGGTGACGTTTATAATATAGATAATTTAGAGGTAAAAGTTTTTGGATATTTTATTTATTTATACGTGGAAATGTTCATCCTTCGATAGGGTATATAATTTTTCACGATCAGGTAATTTCATATATGTGCTTTTTACCGAGTTTAAAGATTCACAAAATTTTCCTGCATTTTCGTGCAAATTTTTGTAATTTATGAGAAAATAGCAGTTTAGATGGATAAAGTCAAGAGTGTGCGCAATGCCATTTTTGTGAAATTCTGGGATGTTTTTTTAAGTAAAAGTAAGTCGACGTGTACATGGTTACTGTGTATGTGCGATTTTGAAAACCGCAGCAAGGAGTTTGTCCCAATTTTGCAGTTAATATATGTCATGATTAAGCAGTTTTGTTCCATAAAATTTCTAGCATAAGTGTAATTTGGCTAGTAGATTGTTGGAAAAAGTGTTGAGTAAATAAAAAGAAAAGAAACATATCTTTACTTTGTGAAGACAAAATGGCGGTGAAAAAAAAAACAGAGGGTTGCTGTAGCAGAGTTGGTCGCCAAATTTTCGCCAAAAAATCACCAAGTTACCATAATCCAAAGATCAACCGCATTGGGTTTTTATCTTGCAAAAATACATTTTATTAATGAACAAAAGATGACATAAATACTTATTTCAATTACCATAAATACAAGAATTAGCAGGAACCCCTTGGATTATCGCCAAGTTTTGTTTCATTTACAGTAATCTGAATATTTTACAGTTTATGTTATGTACACTCTACCATCACGTGATTGGTTGTAATGCGTGATTACAGTGATTTTGATTTCTCAGGGCTTATTTCTGCATTGGATGTCGTTTAGGAAGTACGTTGCTTATTTTGTGATTTACACCGTAAAATGGCTGCCTCTGATAAGATTAATCTGAAGTTTCTGAACGATTTGGAATGAATAGGGGAAAAAAAAAAAAAAAAGCATTAACTGACCGGTCTGTAAATGACAATTTACTCAGTAATCATTATCAGTGCCCTGTTTGTACGAAGGAAATGTATATGGTCGAACATAAAGATGACTTTGAATGGGTTTGTCTGACACTACACAGGATACTTTTTATTCTTACTTTTTGTGAATTTCTGTGGTGATGACAGTATAGATTCTAGTTCAGATAATTTTAGACAGTTTTTGGATGCTGTTAAGGTATTTTGTTTGCTACACACCGAAAACAGAGAAATTTCTGAATAAAGTAAGTCAATATTTCTTTTTTGTACTGCATAGATTAGATAACATGTATTTCCATTCTTATGTTATATCCTTGTTTGATATAAAATGCAGTCTATTGAGTTTATATATTTTTTGTTTTAATTGCGTTTTTATTGCATTATGTTTTAGATGCCATTTTAAGCATAATGCAATAAAGTGATGGGGAGGGTGTTGCACATAAACAGGAATGACACCAAAAAATCAGCAATTTTTTTGCCCTGAAATATATTTTTCTCGAAGTAGCTTTATTTAAGTGTTTAAAACTGAAATGTATTTTATAGTTTATGAAAGATATTACAATTTTTGAAAATCTTATTACATGCGCATAATAAATTTAAATTAACTTCAATCATTTATGCAATTCCATAAAACAATTATTTTGCACTGTTACAATAAAAATACAAATTACATTTCATACACATTACCTTAGGTTTTTTTTTTTTTTTTTTTTTTTTTTTGGTACATCCTTTATTCTTGCATCTTACAGAATTATTAATGTCCATCATATTTGGAAGATGTTTGATTTGTTGTCTTTTAGTATCAGAAGTGGACTACATATTCAAGTCATGTCTTTTAACAAGTGGCTGTTTCTAGAAGTAGTTAATTGAGATGGTCTCAGCAGTGGTTCTGAAATTATAGTTTTTAAGTCTATGCACTTACCACTCACATTAGATTTTTGATTTCCTCTCATTAATATTCATGCACTGAAAACACTGAGATCAAAGAAATGACGAATTATTTTGAACAACCATTTCTTTGTGCGTGTCCTAATTCGATAGTAGCTAATCATCTTATCAATCAGATCAATTCCACCCATGTTGGCATCGTACTCTGGTACTACTGGTCTTGGAACTTCAATGTATTTATTCTTTTTTGACCAATGTTTACATTTATCTTCTGGTTCTACTCCAAGTTTGGATGAGTATAATACATCTTTCTTATCATACCACTTTACAATACACATTTTATCATCCTGATGGACTGACACATCAAACGAACCTCTTTCCATTTTTGACATTATCTTATCAATTGTAAGATGAACTGCATTTGGGACTCTTGATTTAAAGGCAGTGCCCATACATGCAATATCTCTTTCCCTTAAATTATCTATTAATGGAATAGAACAAAAATATCTGCCAAAAAAAAAAGATGTGTTCCTCTGACCACTGCCTCTATCAACCTCATTACAGCTGCACCACCAACACCGAAGCTCTTGGCCCTTTCAGATGAAAATAATGTACTTTTTCCTTGGTACACTTAAAAAATCTGACAGTAAACCACTTGGTGCTGCCAAAATGAAATTCTTTAGTCCTGGATTGGGCTTTCCTGGTACATATTGTTTTACAGCACAGATAGCTGTTATCTGCTCATCTACACCAAGATTCTTACTATGAAAAAGAATAAGTCAACCTTTTCTAACTCTGGTCTCACTTTCCAGAGCTTATCTTTCTGTTCATCTGTAACTTGAGTGTCATCAAGTACTTTCAAATGGTTTCTAATTTGAAAATATTTGTTTCTAATTATCATGTTAGCAATAGCAGGAAGTGTAATTTTCTGCCAATACATGCGAACTCTTGGATAACCTAAGCATGACATCAGCAGGGTTGCTGGCACAGCTGACTGTATCATGGCCTTGAAGTGAAATCAGTTTCGGAAGGTCACGTGATCGAAATAGTTGATCTCTTTCTCTTTACCATAATCCCGGAGTTAAAGTTTACCGAAATAATAGTTTGTCTTAAAATAAATATAAATTAATAAACGTGAGTAGGTCGTATGATTTACATTAAATTTTTCATACTGCAATATTTTAAAGGCAGTAAAAATGTATATCTTCAATAATTTTTAAAACAATTTGTACTTCGTTTATGTAACTAAAAATATCATTGAGAATCACCACATGCGAACTTCATTTATGTAATTTTGATAAAAATGAAATCCATTTATGTAATCTGAATCAAATTTATTGTCCAAATAATATAAAATCCACAAAGGGGGGGAATTCAATAGATTTATGAATGTAAATTTTAGATTTTCATACTAGTAAAATAAATATTAAGGGAAGAATTATTTTGTAAAACTCCATGCCACTACCATAGCATCAGTTATATAAATTTTTAGAAGACAAATACCCATAGTCATCTCTCTTCACTCCATTCACTAATAAAATCTGCATATCTCAATTTTATCAAAACAGGAAAATGAATTAAAATTCCTTAAATGCTAGAAAATTTGAATATAAAGATGAAACTTACATGCATGTTGTTGTACTATAAATAAATCTTTCAAGATAATATCAAAGAACTAAATGCTAATTGCATTCATAAAAAAAGACAGCCATCTATTTGTACTAGTTCCAATTTAAATCAAATTCCAATCAAAATCACTTTTTCCAAACCATCCAAGAGGTAAGTGATTAGGCTTGGTTTTTTTTAAAGTGATTTCTCCAAATTACAGGTCTATTCCACTATTAAAAATAAATTCATAAAACTTGAAGCTGTACCATATACATACATGCTACATATTATACATAATCTATGCAGAAACAAAGCATAAATCAAAATAAACAATTGAGTTATTAACTGAAATTAATTAAATTTTTTAACATTTTTATATGAACATTTTATATTGATTTTGTCATTTTTATATTTTGCATAATTATTTAACATTATTTTACAAGTTATCAAACATATTTTCTAACCGAGTTTGTAAAGTCATTCCACAAGTGCAAGAATCTGTTAAATTAAAGTAACTGTATGGTGTACTAACCGTATGCAAGATAACTTATATAAAATATCCATTTGCTTTCCTGGCATAAGAAATGTATTTTCCATGTTTTTAAGAATTTCACCAAACAAGAAATATACAATTGAAGATTTTAATAGAGTAACTTCAGATGGAAAATTTTTAATTTCCCCCTTATCTAATTCTTTAAGAAAACCAAAAATATCATCTGCTGTATCTACTGAATGAATACTTTGCAACCAGTCCTGTCAAATATTGCATTTTATCACCCTTAATTTTTTCATGGCATCATAACCTGAAACATAAACTAGCACTGCTAAAATATCAGAAGAAACATTTTCTATAAAAAATCATTAATTAGTAAATTTGAATAATCAATTAATATTCGCAAAAGTAAAGATAGAATCCTTATCATAATCTGGTAAAAGGGACATTCATATTTGATTGAAATTATAATATTGTTTTTAAAACGAAGCTTCTTCTCATTTTCTAATAATTGTAGGTCATTTATTTAATAATCTGAACCTGACATTTGCCGATACATTTCAAAACGTGATTCAGGAGCTTGAAATTTTCCTAACAATATGTATTCAGCTTCATACTTTTGAAACAAACATGGAATCAATTGAATGCATCTGTAATTGTTATTAATACTGAAAAGTTTGTGGTGATAAAGTTTCTTTTATTGGGACAGAATGTCAAATATGCTATTAGAAAGAAATAATCAAAACAAGGAATTCCTAATTTACTATTCCAAACAAATATTCAAAACAACACTACGCGAAACGTCCAAACTAATGTATTTGATGTTATGTTAAAACGAAATACTTGAATAGGATTGAGAACAGCTACAAATTTTCCCAAATAAATCTAAAAATTAAAAAAGTATAAAACGAAGTATAGATAAAAATATTATTTACCTTAGCATAAGTGATTTAAAATCACTTAATAGCAAAATATACATCCAAAAAATCCACGACCACGAGTTCACAACCACACACTACCACAAAAATACATCGACCATCTTGATCACGTGACTTTTGCACTTCAAGGCCATTATAGAGTTGGCTGTGGGTTGCTGGTATATATGCTTTCATGTCATTTAAACAAATATTGAAAACATTATCTGTTTCTTTACGAAACTTCATCTTTGTGTATTTGCACATTTCCATTAAAAACATATCATCCCAAAAGAGACAAACATATTCTGCCTATTAGCTGCAAATTCCTTACTATCCCAAGTGATATCTTCAAGGCAATTGAATCTGTAATATGAAAAATAAAATAAATAATGTAATAGAATGTTCTACAGCTTACAAAAATGTTAAATATTATATATATTCTGGTTTGATTCAATTCAATTCAAATTGCCAAGCTAAATGATTGCAATTTTGAACGAAACCTGCAAACATGCAAAGAACTCACATCTAAAACAAAAGTTCAAGAAAAGCAATGAAAAAGTACTTTAAAGTCAATAACTAAATATATTATGGGATCAACATTATTAAGAATTTTCATACTATCCATGCAATGTTTTTAAAACAGCAGCAAAAAAGAAGCAGAATATTTTGCACAAAATTAAGAAATTGAAATCAACAGTAAATGAGCAAGAAATAATAGGAAAATATACTGATTCATATCTAAGCTAAAATTTTAAGAAAATGCAGTGGAAAAACAAAAATCAAATACAAAATTGGGATCATCGGAACCACAAGCCGTATTAATAGGGGGAAAAAAGCAATTTAACAATTTTAACTATGTGATTTATATTCTTACAATAAATTCTGATTTATAATAAATAGTAGAAAACCATATTTGTTCATGTCTATACTAACACTTAATAATACAATAAAAATAAAATTAAAAATGGCACGCTCATTTCTACCACGTGCTTAATCGCATATAATATACTTCCAAGCTAAAGAGAATTACTTTGATTGTGATTTATATTGAAATCAAAATTGTGTTAATCAATTTGGAACGCCAGGCCTGCGGAGTCGGCAGGGAAAATGACCGACTCTGATTTATATATACATATATGACATATACATACATGACTCCCTCATATATGTATATGTAAACATATACATATGGGTTTTAGCATATTTTTTTAATATAAAAGTAACAGATGCTACAGAAAAAAAAAAGGTACAACTCTGATATATGCCCTAATTTCACCAAATGCGGCAATATGTGTTCTGCGCTGGTTTTTGGCGTGACTGCGTGTTGTGTGGCAACCCTGTTGATGTTGAAAAATCTTTCGCTGAAGCTCGTTGATTCGCATCATGCTCTGTGTCTGAGAAGATAGGGGGGAAAGATAAAATATTGGAAGTTGTTGAATTTAAATTCGGCAAAAGGAAATATCGTGGTCATCCTGTTGAGGGGCAGTGGGTATTTGGAGGTGTGGAAAGAGGGTCTGGGAGATTATTTTTAGTGGCTGTGCATGATAGAAGTAGGAATTTGTGATTTTATTTATTTGTGAACCATAGTATGAATTTTCTGGATAGTGTGTCTGGCTCTCATATAAATACGATAGTGATTACGTGGCGGCATGTTAAAGGCGGTATGAACTTGGTATTTCTGCTGTTCGAAAAAGCATTAATTCATGGTAAGTGCATTTCATTTTATTCTTGTTCCTATTTTGTAGAATGTTAAGTTCATTGTTTTTTTAGTATGAATTTCTGCCGTTATTGTTGTTTTTTATATTGCTTGAAATTTATTTTAGTATATTTTGTTGATTAGTGCGTAGCGTCTAGATTGCGCAATTCGTAGATGTTTTTTAAAGTTGAAACAGAACGCTGTGTACATGGTATTCTTTGAAATTTATTGTTGTTATATTAATTTATTAAAGCGAGGTGTGCGTAGTTCGTAGATTCGTTTGTTGCCTAGATTTTGCAATTCGTAGATGTTTTTTTAAGTTTAAACAGGATGCTGTGTACATGGTATTCTTTGAAATTTATTGTTATTATGTTAATTTATTAAGTGGGGTGTGCGTAGTTCGTAGATTCATTTGTTGCTTAGATTTTGCAATTCGTAGATTTTTTAAGTTTAAACAGGATGGTACTTGGTATTCTTTGGAATTTATTGCTGTTATGTTAATTTATTAAAGCGAGGTGTGCATAGTTCGTAGATTCATTCGTTGCCTAGATTGGTACAGGTATATGGTATTCTTTGAATTTATTGCTGTTATGTTAATTTATTAAAGCGAGGTGTGTAGTTCGTAGATTCGTTCGTTGCCTAGATTGTGCCATTCGTAGATGTTTTTTGAAGTTAAAACATATCGCTGTGTACATGGATTCTTGTCAAATATTTTTGTTTAGAAACTTTACGTTTTTACTATTTAAATTTTTGTTTTTGTTTTGGATTTGTAGCTTAAATTGTGTGTTTAAAACGTGGTTTTTGCATGTGAGAAAATGGCATTTTTGGAGACATTTTAGGCTTAAAGTTCAAAATGTAGACAAAAAATTTTGATAGTAATATGGCAACGTGGAGTTTCTTGCCAAAACTGTTTGGTGAGAAATTTGGCAACTCGAAGGCACATATCAGAGTAGTTCCAAAAAAAATTGATGGCATAGCAAATTATTTATCTTAATTAGCCTTTATTATGAAATAGAAAATAACCTGGCATTAGGTTATTTCTAAGAAGCATCTAAGAACATTGGCAAGATCTTCATTGTTGGAGGACCATAGATCTGATTTGATAAACTTCAGAGCTGAGAACTTTCCACACTGACTTGAGTAGAAAGAAGAGCTGTTACTGTTAGGACTACTTCTTTTAACTTGTCAGGACAGATTTTTATAAGTTCTAAGAGATGTGTCTTGCAAGAGCAATCATGTTTCTCTATTTCTTGAAAGGCCGTGTAGAAATCTTGTTTGTATTTTTTCATTTTTATATCTAAAGGTTCTCGGTTTCTTTATTTTCATTCGCTTTGCCAGCCTTTAAAATATTATCCAAAAATATCTCTCAATATCTTATTCATCATTGAAAGAGGATGATAGAGACTCAGTTGCAGTTTGACTGTCCTGATTTGAATCCTCCAATTGTTCTGAAAATAATTTCATTCTTATTGAAAGTTCATAGATGACTTTCTTTGCCTTCTTAATTTGTCATCATCCAACAAAATTCGTGTTTTGGATCTACATAAATTGAATCCAGGAAGATCTTATTGTCTAGCAAACTAGTTTCTCATTTCTTCATTAATGAAATGATTCCTTCTGCAATAAACAATCAATTTCAGAAAGAAAAAAACACCACAATCTTCCATTCTCGCCTCCTAGTTAATTCTTCAGAGAGTAGCTCTTTTGTGGCTATATACAGTGTAGAAAGAGGAGTTTCCAATCCTGAAAAATCATTCCATAGTCTTCCTGTTCGTGAAACATTAGGGTTATCTACATCTTCTAAAAAGTTCTTAATTCTAACAACCTCTATATCATCAAATATCTACTTCTTCAGCACGTTGCTTGAGCAATATTGCTCCCTTTCCTGCTCGCTTCCTAAGAATGGCGTCAATTTTGGGAGTTCTTGCTACTATTGCTTCTTACCTAAATTTACCGGTGAGATTTTTAACTTAATGAATCAATTTAGTCACTAACGGCAAATATCACATCCATCCTCCTCCCTTATATTTATTTATTAATATGTCAATAAAATAGAAAATAGTACCCATTTATTAATATATATAGTCCATAAATAAAAATAATACCTCAGTTTATCATTATTTTTTCTAATTCATTTTAATTTCATTTCAAATTCAAACTGTCCAACAAAAAGCGGAATCGGAGTCGACCTATTTTTAGCGACTCCAGCTCTTAAAATCTGCCTAACTCCGATTCCGACTCTACAGCCCTGCCCTGCTTAACAAAGCTATGAAAAAGTAATAAAAATGAATCTTACTTTATCCAGTTACACATCTGATGACTGCGAGGATAAACAATCTTAATCGCTTGTTAAAATTCGGCAAAACGATCGCTTGATGAAAAATATGCATATTTTCTCCTCCACATGTCAAATTCATCTCCAGCTGAGTATCCTTGAAACATTTTTTTTTAATGACATTAAATGTGCACTCGATAGAGTTTGTCTCGGAATCCTTAAAAACGAGATTGTGATTTACATGAAAAAATATGAATCCCTAATCAATAAGACATTTATACATCTTGCAACAGTCCAAAATAATAACAGATCCCGGCAAAATAATTTTATTGATAATCTTCATCTCGCACGCGGCTAAATCTTTCTGCTCGCAGGGCGAAATATCAAAGAAATTAGGTACGATGGTGCAATAGTTGTGTAGAAAAAACAAATAGAAAAATTCATTTAAATCCAAGCAGTCACGTCCCCTTATTTCTGGGAATATAACAACACTGAAATTTAAAATTAAAGCATAATTTAGATTAACAATAATAAAATCTTCAATTAGTAATATTAAAATAATGGTAACCGCTTATGGCATATTTAAGAACAGCTATGAAACACAAAAAGTTCCTATAAAATCAAAAATGGTATGCAAAGCCTACAGAACGATAAAAATTCTCAAATAAATGTAGAAATAAATAAAAAATTCTCAAATAATAAATTTACTCTGCATTCAGTTGTTTGGATATTTTGGGGTAGAACAGAATGCCTATGATATGTTCTTCATGTATTTTCATGGAACTCGAATAAAGTCATTACCAAGACGAATTCAAAGCAATATGACCTTTAAAATTGACTTTAATATTTCACATACTTTCCCTAGACGGAATTTATAACCTTCCGAATGAAAACATTTATAAACTTCTAAAACGCAAATAGGTATGTTAAAGTAATAAACAGGAAATATGGAATATACTTGCGTAGCAAATTATAATCACTAGGTGTGAAGTGCTTGAAACATACACACATTCGTGATGAAACAGATTTTACGATACGAAGCACCCTTAACCATTCGTCTCTTCGGCTAACAAGAACGTTAGATCCAAAGCTAGTCTACTCTTCGCATTCTTAGTCTACTCTTCGCATTCGGAAATTTATGGAAACATAATTCTGGGTTTTTAGAACATTTTGAAGCACACTGAGGCACACAACAGTTTGTATTGTCTTTCTTGTTTTCACTCGCCATTTCCATAAATTCCACTTTCACAGTACACGATAACACTTACTACAACAAACCAACCGTTTTCTGCAATAGCGCTGCTGTTCATCTCAGCGCTATTTTTGTGTCAGCGATTCGCTACAATTGCGGATTCTCCTCACAAGGATTTCGCCGCTAACCTACGCATTTGCCTCACAGCGCACTGGCTTTGCTTCGAAAGTCGGCGGAGGTGAAAAGACCGGTTTATATTCTGACCACGGTTTATATTGTGTATTTCTTCTTTGATCCGTAAAGTCGGACGTCGTAAACGACCCTTTCTATAGTAGAAGACCAATGACCATGGTGGCAACTTACCACATTAATGTTTCTGTATGCCTTAATTGATATGTACTTTGTATTTGTGTAGTATCTTTACTCACATATTTATTATTTTTTTGGTATTTATATTGTTGCGTGCGTGCGGGTTCGTTACTAAATGAATGCACAAGTCCGAAGAAAAATGAACAAAAATTTATTATTATCACAACAAATATGATTAAATGTCCTCAAATAATCGTGCAGTATCACAGTATATCACAGTAGTTATCTTCTAACTACTCAAACGTTCAATAGACTTAATTCAAAACAGCTAAAGAAAGCTAATCCGCGAATTCGCTACAGTTAACAAGAGCAGTTTTTCTAAACAACAACAAATTAAGTAACTACTACGAACTTATTTATTATTTATTTATTTCTGATTCACCTCAGGTATACAACTACTTTGAGTAATACTACTACGAACTGAGAGGTTTTCCTCCTTTTATAAGATTTTTAAAATCGCGTGCAAGATTTTTCCAGTTCTTTCTCGAAATCAAAAAGAGATATTTATTAAATGTTAAATGCACGCGCTCTTGTATTTTCAATTTTCCGGCTTAGTTTTCTTTTAATATTCGTCACGCGCTACACTGCGCGGGAAATTTATAATTTAATTTAATTTATAATTGAACTAACATTAGCTTTTTGAATACCAAATTCGTAACACTGCCCCCTTCCCAAGGACTGCACGTCCCGGGCAGTACAATCCCTGGACAGGAAGCTAAACTTACAACTGAGGCATGAATACAATAATAAGCATTACATTACAATAATAAACAACATGAACAATAAATGCAATAAATAAAACAAATCAAATGCTATCAAATACAAATCAAATACTAAATGCAAATCAAATACTAAATACAAATCAAATCAAATACACATTTAAAAACAAAAAGGACCATGGTCTTATACTATTTACAATTATTTACATTACGTACTATGGCCATAGTAATGAGCTAAACTGTCGTAATGAACGACTTTAGGTTTAGAGTTCGAAGACTTACGGATCCGAACCACGACGTCATTCAGCCTGTTTAGGACTGTGTACGGACCATCCCAAGGTGACTGTAATTTCGGAATAAACCCTTCCGTTGAATCGGGTTCCACAACCACACCTTGTCTCCTTTGTTGAATCCATGTCCAGTAGCTCTCGCGTTGTATCTGGTCTTCACTTTCTCCGTCGCCAAGTTCACTCGCTTTCGTGCGGAACGGTGCATCACTTTAAAACGAGCCTTGGATGTGTTCCTCAGGCGATGAAGGCGCATCCGTATGGCGATCAAACAGGCGGTCACAAGGCAGACGAAGGTCTCGACCGGAGAGCATATGTGATGGTGAATACCCGGTAGTCCGGTGTTTCCCTCCGACCCTAGTAGGATTTCGGCAGCTTTCTGAATAGGGTCTTTCACATGAGACGTCGGCGTTTCCAGACGAGGATCCCTTCTGAGGATGGATAGTCATGTCATCAGATGCTGAAAGCAGTTTGTTGTTTTTGAAGTTTAAGGAAAAATTATATTTCCTTAAAAAGTCCAATCCGAGTATGCATGGATCTGTAATATGCGCTGCATAAGCCGTGTGATGGTAGGCGGCACTTCCAAACGTGATGTTCACGTTTAACTTCCCACCTATGTCGATCTTATCACCAGACGCAGTCTGAAGGGTAACAGAGGATGGCGTCCAAATAAGTTTATCTTTAAACTGTTGAGTTAAATCTCTCCGAATGATGGTAGCATTAGCTCCTGTGTCAATGATCATATTGCAAGGAACTCCATCGATGTGCCCATTGATGGACAGTCCGTTACTGTTGTCACTCACTATAGAAATCTTGAGCGCTTTAAAACAAGGTTTTTCATTCTCTGGCAGCCTCCGTTCCTCGATATGGATATTCATTTGTTTCCTCCGTCGTCGCTGGGAAATGGTCTCAATTTTCGTACTCTGGGGTGTTCTGGAATTCTTTCGTACGTGGCCTTCAGATCCACAGTTCCAGCCCTTTAGTTTGTAGTCAATCCTTTTCCGTCCCATGTCATTTAATCGTCTGTTTAACCCGCCTCTCTTATTTTCTGTGCTCTGGGGTGTTCTGCAGTTCCTTCGTACGTGGCCTTCAATACCGCAGTTCCAGCACTTTAGGGTTGGTTTCTTCTCACCAGTATTCCGTCTTAAGGCATTCACTGGTCTTATTAAATCATCCGCTTTATTATCCGTGCCCTGGGGTGTTCTGCAATGCCGTCGTATGTGCCCTTCAATATCACATTTCCAACATCTTAGAGCCACTTTGTTCTCACTCCTGTTCCGTATCAAAGCATTGACTTGTCTGGATAAATCATCTAAACGAGCCATCAATTGATCCACTGGCTCGTTGATTCTCGCAGCTCTGACTGGGTGGCGGTCTCTATGAGCTGCTTGCTGGGCTGCCTCGAATTTCATGGCGTACAACAGAGCACTTTTTATATCTTTCACATCCGCCATTCGTAGAGCTTTCTGTATTTCAGTATCCCGGATGCCGTCGATAAAGTATTGCAAGGACAGGATTTCCCTTGTTTCTGTTGGGCATTCCGTAAAGGCGATGTGGGACAGCCTTTCAACATCCGTGGCGAGTTCCTGGAGTGATTCGGTGGGCTTCTGTTGACGGGATTTTAATTGAAGCCTGCTGTAGTCTTTTAAACATTTCTCGCCAAAGCGCAGCTCCAATGTGCCGGATAGAGCTTCGAAGTCAAGTCTTTGGTTTTCGGGAAGCGACTGCAGGATATCCGCTGCGTCTGCTCTCAGCGAAGCGGCGAGATGACAGGCCTTAGTTTGGGAATCCCATCCATTCGCATCCGCCACTATAGAAAATTGTGCTTTATACACCTGCCAGGAGGTCTTCCCATCATATGTCGACAGCTTTAGAGAGGGACGAGCAAGCATGGGTAGAAATTTTGAACCATCCGAAATGCTCCTTGCCGTTGCTACGAATTTCTTTAAAGTATCGACTTCTTTCGCAACGGCTGAAACCCTATCATCGTTTGTTGCTCGACAGCAGAAACTCGCTCTTCTATATGTTCTTTTACAGAAGAAACTCTTTCTTCTATTTCTTCTTTCACTAAAGAAGCTCTTTCTTCAAATTGAACTTGTACGGAAGAAACTTTTCTTCAATTTGCCCAACTTTATTTTCAACCACATCTATTCTGCCTTCCATAGCATCGAATTTGGTTTCTATTATGCAGGCAATTTCTCTTTTCATTTCGTATTGACTTTCTTCAATCTTTACTTGTACGGCTTTTATTTCGTCTTTAAAAGTTAATTGACCAGCTTCCAATTTTTTCTGACCAGCTTACATCTTTTCCTGACCAGAGTTCATCTCGTCTTTCATTTCTTCTTTAAATGCAGCAAAGGCTGATATCACCTGTCTTAACTGCTCTTCCATCGCTCTTGTGATTGGCATTCAAACCCCACTCCTGACACCAAAAATTGTTGCGTGCGTACGGGTTCGTTACTAAATGAATGCACAAGTCCGAAGAAAAATGAACAAAAATTTATTATTATCACAACAAATATGATTAAATGTCCTCAAATAATTGTGCAGTATCACAATACATCACAGTAGTTATCTTCTAACTACTCAAACGTTCAATAGAACTTAATTCAAAACAGCTAAAGAAAGCTAATCCGCGAATTCGCTACAGTCAGCAAGAGCAGTTTTTCTAAACAACAACAAATTAAGTAACTATTACGAACTGAGAGGTTTTCCTGCTTTTATAAGATTTTTAAAATCGCGTGCAAGAATTTTCTAGTACTTTCTCGAAATCAAAAAGAGATATTTATTAA